ATCAATAAATCAATGAATAATGAAATGTTCGCTGCATGCCATGAAATGTATTCGTTTTTTGGTTTATACTCTATTATAACTCATTTGCATATAAATTATACTGATTAAGCTCTGAATGGTTTGGTTTTGTATGGAATGAAGAACACCCACTGTTAATAGAAATTCAATAAAAATAATTTAAAAAAAAAAACACGAAATGGCCCGTTCAAAATCGATTCAGTGAGTACACAAAATTAATGGGATAAAAACGTTCTAATTCCATTAATTTCTCTCCAGTGACTCCACAGCTGTAGCCCATTCCCACCCAATCCATTTTATCATTTAGGATACCAATTTCTCCTCTTCTGCTTTAAAAATCACCTTGCAACAATTATCGCCGAGAGCATAAACAATTAGTTAATATTCACCGTTATAATAGATGCATGTGCCGTAATAGCTTTATGAGGCGAAAAAAAAATTCAATTTAAAATTGATATTCGGTGATTTATCTCAATAAATGAGACTATGTACTTGTACATTGTACACATGAGTTCGGCATTTTTCAATTAATTTATCGTCTCGCGGTTTTGCTGCTCGCCATGCTGATATAAACACCAAATTAAAACTTGAACACATTAATGAATTAATTTGATGGCGAATAATGCTAATTGAATTATATTCATTTCAAGCTTCCGTTCACAGTCATAGTCCGAGCCATATATTTGCACAAATAATCTTCATACGATGGTCAAATCAAAGCATGCGTTATGTAAACTGTAAACACAGGAACATTTCATTTTTAATCCGGACAACATTCGTTTTTGCCGGTTGGCGGTAGTCGTTTATAACGATTCGCTAATCACTTGCATCATTTTGTTGTTAGCCGTGTAAAATATTTCCTCTTCCGATTCATTTAAGAAATTTGCACTGAAATTCCATACATTGGTTTGACTAGCCTGATAAAATACTTGATTTGTATCGAATTAAACAATTGAATATTTGGAACGAATTTTTATTATTTTCAATTCTTCACTTCTTTCGAAATTCCACGGGCATAATATATGCAGAAGCAGAAAGTAATATGAACCATTTTTTAAATCAGGCTCTCATATGGTTGAATGGTATAATCCGCTCAAATACTGATTCATTCGCAGCGTGGGGTGGAGTACGAAGATTGAATTCGCGCTGAGCTAATTATACCTTCGAAACGGACTCAAATTTGACCACACACATAGTTCACTCGATTCAGAGCTACCAAAGCAAGTAAATACATTGAATGATTATGACCATGGTTGGACAACTTTTAATGTATATCATATTTCACAAATCACATGTTGAGGAATTGACCAATCCTAGAACAAAAAGAAGCGCATAATTCATCAAATTTAATTTAAAATGGTTTTTTTAGTCAAATATAAAAGCATCAGACAAAAATGAATAATGCAAAGTCACCTCCTCATGGAAATGTCAATATGGAATTGGAGTTGTTCGTGTTTTGAACATAAACATTTTACCATAAATTCCGTACAGACGCCATCCTTTTGTTACAAATTTCATTCATATTTCGTCGAAAATAATTAGAAGCGTTTGCATGCGTATAAATTGAATATATGCACCAGCGACGTACAAACTGGGAAAGAAAGCTGAGCTGAAAAGAAAAGAGTAAACGTTAAAAATTTCCCGAATGCCAATGGCAGGAAAAATTATTATTGCGAACCGGTTGGAGCAATGTGTAAGCGTGCGATTCTGCTAAGCACAGGGCTGGAATTCTAAGACATTCCACCAAAATCGTGCGGAATTATTTTTTTTGTACGTACGACTATATTGGAGTGAAAGAGAGAGATTCCACTAATTTTCTGGTTACCACCGGAATCATTCCGATAACTATCACTTTTCCTTGAGTTATCTTAATAATTCCGATGGTATCCAGAAAATTAGTGGAATCTCTCTCTTTCACTTCAATATAGTCTTACGTATAATTCCGCACGATTTTGGTGGAATGTTTTAGAATTCCAGCCGAGAGCAATATGTTGATGGTGTTGTCGTGGATACCACGGGAAAACTGTGTGAAAAGGAAATTCATGTTTCGGCTGCAATGGTGCGATCGGTTCGAATATTCTGAAGGCATTTGGTTTAAATTTAATAAATCTAAAGCATTGAACAGAATCATGCATGCATTTTATTGTATGCACCACATAAATTTTTGGAAACACGTTCCATACACTTACTTCTTTCATTCTCTGATCCCTCTCTCTCTCTCTCCCTCTTTCTCACTCTTTCACTTTGATTTGGCATGATTGCTCTTAATGTTGTTTCGCATGCACAGTTGCATAAAAACAAAGCAAATGGTCGGGAAAACTGTTGCAAGGGTATTTCAAATTCAATTTATCATTCGGGATAATTTTGAACACGTTGATTTGTGAAACAGAGAAGTCTGGACAATACAAAGTGCATCGAAGCGGGCTCAATTTTTTTGTATGCGAACGCATTCAAGCAAGAGAAGATGTCATATCATTTCACATGAATTATTTTATAAGAACACAAACACACACCTACACACAGACAATACAGTACATGCTTGAAAATTGCAAGCAGTCAGTATTTCTCTTTTTTTTTGTGAAATTCTCTAAGTTGTATTCGTGTTTCATATTTATTTCAATTCAACGAACCTACGAAGTGTTCACTGTATTCGATTGATCAATTATAAAATATTGTGTACGAGTTCGAGCACAAACTAAAGGCGGGGGTGGGGGGGGGGAATACTTAAATGGAGTTTCAATTATACGAATTGGTTCTGTACAATTCACTTTGCCAAAATATTGCGATTTGCCATCAGAATTGTGCTAAGTTGAAAATGGCGCTTTCATTGCTGGGGTAATTATGTGATTGATATTGTAATTATTTTAGCAATAAAAAAGAATTGAGAGCAAAAAAAAAGCACAGTGAAATGCAAAAGTTTTCATTATAGAATTCTATTGAGTTGCAGTTGCACCATATTATTCGCTGTTTCTATTGAGAGCTGCAATTTGAAATGAGTGTAAATGAATGTCCGTTGCTTTGAGCACCAATCTAGTTGTAATTTTAACAGAATTGAATCGGATATGGAAATGGGTTGTGGAGTAAAAAAAAAGTTTGATTCTACATTGGGAGTAAGTCGAGAGGCAGTCTGTGTTCAAGTATTGTAATTCAGCTCTTTGCAGTTTTGTGTTATCTTTACGTGTCACACAATTTCCTTTATACCCATATCCATATGTCTCTCTGTTCCAGTTCTTCTTCTTGTCATCTATATTGATTAAATAGCGCTCAACAGTATAATAAAAGTGAAGTTTCTCCTACAAAGACAATTTTACACTTCTTTCTGGCACTTGTCGCGTTCGATTCGTTTCCGTGCGCGCCTTTGTTACAGATTATGATGAGATGGTGCTGATGCTGGTGCTGGTGCCGATGCCGATGCCGTTGCCAATGCTCTATGCCAGTCCATGTGCGCGCTGTATTTAAACAGCTCGTTTCAGTACCAATCTCATCAGTCTAACCCGACATTCCTGCATTGACATCGCTCTTATTCTCTCTCGTTCTCAGTGCGAGCATAACAACGATGAAATTGAATAAATGCTATCTTTCGCCGTTTGTACTGGATTGCACATACACATAACACAGTTCTATGTTGTTGGGGCTATAACGAAATTTATAGTGCTAAACGTAATTTTGTTACACACAAGCAAACAGTCAAACTTGAACAGGAAATTAGAATGAACATTTTCCGCTTTTCCCATGACGAATATTTACGTAAAATCACAAACAAGATGCAGAAAAAAAAGCAAAAGAGGCGACAAAAGAAGAAGAAGAAGAAGAAGAATAGGAGGAAAAAACAACACACAAAATATCCGCACAAGTGAATAGAACAAAAAGCAAATGAAAGAACGTGCAAAAAATCATACGTTACAAACGTACAAAATATCTCGGTAGCACGATAGAGCAAAAAAAAAGTGCACATAAAATACATTATAAAGTGTTTTACAGCATAAGCCCAACTGTTTTGTATATTCATGAAATGTACTGGCAATGTACCGATAGCAAAGTGCCCGCTTTTCATCTATTCGGTCGCCTGTTGGAACTGCTTCTCTCAACGTTATCATATATGCTTTGGAACATACCACATACCACATACCGCATAAACACACATAAACTTCTGATATTCCCATGAAAAGATATTCGATAACACATTTTATGCGTCTATGGCTGAGAATGAGCCAGCCATAATGCAACGACGACAGCAATGCCGGTGGCAATGGTGACATCGACGGCGGTGACGGTAGCAGCGCCGACAAGCGAAACGACAAACGAACCAGATGAATGAATATAAAGGAATAAAATAAGTTTGCGAAAAAAAAAAATTGTATTCTATTCCACTCTAGTCTCTTTGTAGATGAATATAGAATTTGTAATGTTACACAAAATTGCATTAGTAACACCGTCTACTAACTGCCAATTATACAACTCTCATTTACCCCTTTCTGACAATGACATACACCATTGTGATTGTGAGTGTGCTTTGTACATGTGAATCGAATGCGTGCGAAAGTAATTTATTTGCTGATGGTAGAAAAATATTTACAGTTTGAAGTGTGTCATAAAAAGGAGCTAAAATTAGTTAGATGAATCAGGAATTGCAAGCCCACACACACAACAACAACAACAAACACGCTCACACTCCGTGTCACACTGCCGATTCCTTATTTACACTCTGATATGTATCATGGTCGAGAGTGTTTGGAAAACAAATTATTATTTTATCAAGATTTTAGCTAGTTTTAGACGAACCGCTCGAAAGAATGGCAAACCAGTACACAACACAGTACAAAAACTGTTCATTGCCCCAGCTACTGATTCAGTTGCTGGTAACAAAAAAACATACCCTGGGCCATTTTATTTAAGCAAAATGATTATTTTGTTAAAGGAAAGATAGTTTTCATTCCGGTTCCATTATTACATTTCTCTTTTCGCTTTCTGTTTCGTTTCAGAAGATTCGGAATGTGTTTGGCGCAAAAAGTGTCAAAACTCATAACATTGCTGTCGATGCGAATGGTCGGTGTGATGTAGCCTCTGATTTTTATGTATCCCAGTTACGAAATTTCATTGCGAAAAACTCGAATGCATCGTTTGACTGTAAACATCAGCAAAAACAAGTAGCCGAACATCAACATCAACAACAAACATATTTACCATATAGCACAGGGCCGAAAAACCAGCACAAAGACTTTAAGCGCAAGTGTAAGCGGGCCGTTTACAAATTCATGAAGGGTTTATTAGACGAACGGAAATTTAAAAAAATCAAAAGCATCAGCCAAGAAGAGCCTATTTACTTTGAGGTGAGTTTATTTCTCCATATTCTTGCATCGTCTGATTGTGTGTCCCCGACAATATCTTCATTTCTATAGAGTGTAGAACCCCTTCAAATGCGTCATTGCTTCATAAATGTTTGCCGCAAAAAAAAGAACCAGTTAATGTCAACAGACATTGTGAATTGTGGCATGTCCCCAGTGCCCATAGCGACGGGTTATTAGGATATTGTCCATCATGGATTAAGATGATCACAATCGGATTTTGTGCGGCACCAGCAATGAACATTTTTCTTCGCGATGTACATTAAAACTTTTCGACTCTGTGACCGATTCTCTTTATTTATAGATATATTTCAAATCCACTTATGGAATGAATATTTTGTCTGTAGTCATGCCATTCAGCTTTATTTGTACAAATAGTTTTAACAGTTTTGATTTGGTTTTTCGTTTCTTATTCGTTTGCTGCCACATTTTAATCGCAACATCAGTGCAACAGCAGTAATGCTAAAAATATCGATAAAACCCGAGTAAAGTCAACAGAGGGCAATAAGCACGACGGACAACAAAATAAGAGCGATAATAAATTCAACGGCATGCAGAATATTAGCATACGAGTCGAGAGAGCGACGACAGCAACTGCTCCAGATCATCATCATCAAGATTCACCCAATCATAAACGACCTCCACATTTATTCGCCAAAGCAAGTCCAACGTAAGTTAAATGCGCCAATTTATAAAATAATTCCATTGATACATGTAAGTTACATGATGTAACAGCAGAAGATGCAAATAAATGTCATTGCCACATCATAATGATGTTTCTCATAGATACGTATCTATATCTGTATCTAAAAACTTAAATAAAAAATGAAATATCTTTATCTACATCTAGATGCTGTATTAATTTTGGCTTATGAATACATTTTTAGATACAAACGATGGTTAGTAAGAAGTAAGAATGAAATATGAGGGAGTATGTGTTTTTTATTACTTTTCCGCAAACTTTGTTTGTATAGGAGAAGTATTGGTTTTACTAGCCAAAATTTCATGACTCCTTCTCTTTTGGACCACTATAAAGTCACGTCAAACTGTTTTTAGCACAAAACTGTACACTAGGCAATGTAGATGGGAACAAATCCTATCGATCAAGACCTATCTGCCCTCAAAAATATGTTTTTTACTATGAAAAATGTGCAAAATAGCGATGTGCGTATGGCGTCGTTCGCGTTCGCGTGCACGTTTTTCATTAACACAAAATCTCAAAAAGTTGACCAGATAATTAGGATCTGTAAAAGCAGAAAGGTTTTTTATGTTAGAACTTAGAACCCATTAAAATTTGAGCCCATTCTGACCTACCAATTTTGAACTATCAGCCTCGGACTCATGATCTGAAAACGCTTGTAAAATGACACTTTTGTATAGATTTACAGGCATTAACATACTAATGTTATTAATTATTAACATATTATTAACGGGGCGTTAATAACTCAAACATAACATATTATTAGATTAATAAGATTCTACGATATTATTAACATATTATCTTATTATTAATAAGATAATCTTATTAAAATATTAATAAGAAAATCGGATTTTATTAACCAATTTTCAAAAGAAATTTTGAAGAAAAGTTTCATACTAAAAACATATCAAATATCGTCAGATGCATTTTTCTTCAATATTTCGTCGTTTGACGATATATGATATGATTTTAGTATGAAACTTTACTTCAAAATGTCTTTTGAAAATTGGTTAATAAAATCCGATTTTCTTATTAATATTTTAATAAGATTATTTTATTAATAATAAGATGGATCTTATTAACTTTTTAATAAAATGGCGATCTTATTAATAATAAGATAATATGTTAATAATATCGTAGAATCTTATTAATCTAATAATATGTTATGTTTGAGTTATTAGAAATTTTCCGATATTTTGGTTATTAACATATTAATAACATATCAAAAATGTAAATCTATACACTTTTGTATGAAAAATCACCAAAAAAGCCATTTTTCAGGGTTTTGGTCAAGGCAAACTTATGTTTTTTGCAAAAATATTGGGAGTCTGTGAACAACCGAATACTTGATGTTGCCCATCAATTTGGTCCAAAATCGACATTTCTTGAAATTTTCGAAATTCTCTTCGAAAATGACACTTTTATGGAAAATGGTCGAAATAGTTATTTTTCAAGGTCAAAAGTGCTATGAAAAAAGGTCTCATTGAAATTTTGGTCAAACATTAAGCGGGAGGTAAACTAAATTGCTGCGGAGCGGAAAAGTTTGGATTACGTACGTAATTCGTTTTATTTTGATCTGTCATTACACTAAAGCTACCAACTATTTTCTACCAGTATACTGGAAAATCCAGTACCAAAGCCAGTTTTTTCGCAATATCACGGAAACGGCTGGATTTCATCCCCATCAAATTTTCCGCCCGATCGAATGGGACTTCTCACAATTTTCCCCGATTTTCCATTTTCTTTTTATAGCGATATGTTCATTTTCGGAAAATTTTCCAGGATTTGCAATTTTCCGGGAAATTTTCTTGAATTCGTTTTCAGCTTACGATCGTACATTCATAAAATGAAAATGGTTGGAAAATCTTGGAAAACTCGGGAAATATGGAAGAATTTGTAAAAATAAAATGTACTGAAAATGACCCTAAATTTATATATGAGGCCATATTTTGGCTCCAGTGACTTTTCCGGGAAATCTGATCAGATAGAAAACTTCCTTGGGACTTCCTCTTTCTATATGTGTAAACAAGAATTTGCTTCCGACACTCGAATTTTTTGGTAGCATTACATTACACCAACATTTTTGAAATATTTTTTTCCAAGTTTTATCTAATATTTTTTTTAGATAGATATAGGAATAGATAGCATCTAGATATTTTTTGTAGAATGTAGATACATCTATCGTAAACCATCCAAATTGTAACATAGTCTAAATTGTAACAATTGAACAAATAGACTAATTTTCTGCAAAACTTTGAAGGAAAACTGTTGTTTTTATATCATATTTGAGAAGAACATGAAAAAATCTTCCGATATGAATATATGACTTATTTGTATTTTTTTAGAAAAGTGGTTTATTTTGAGACTATGTTACAATTTGGATGGTTTACGTTATACCTAAATCTAGATGGATTTTTAAAAACTTGAATTAATCTGTATCTTATCTAGATGCAAATCTCGTATCTAAAACACCACGTCATGGTCGTGATAAGAATCTGCACTATACAATTTTTGCAATCACTTTCAATAACATAACATTATTTGTTTATTCTTTAAAGCTGTGAAATCACAAACATACAAAATATTGCGTCAAGATCGGCGAGCTCTGAAGAGGATAATTCTCCAACAGAACTGAATAATTGCAGAAGATTGGTCGATAAGCCCCCTCTGGTGTGTATAAAAATTAGGCTTTAAAAAACATTCCCAATTTGAAAAAGAAAAAGAAATGAAAACCAAAATGCCCATTTTCAACAGGGAATGTTCAACAGTTTGCATGTGTAGTGGCTTCGTATTCGAAATCTTAGTCAACCGATAATATCCGATGCCGTTTTTTATGAGTTTGTTTTTTGTCCACTGTTTTAATAGGTAAAACGTATTGCCATGGGTCTATTGCGCACATCGGAAGAAAGTCGACCGCTAGTATTGAACACACCATCTCCAACGTCTGGTTCAATGCACACAATAATATCCGATGGTTATGTCAATGAGGGAATTTGCGATCCCGATAAAATTATCTCTAGTAAATTTGGCGACTCGTGCCGTAAATCTTTAACATCGGTTTTAGACAAAAGCTATAAAGATACATGTGAATTCGATTTGAAGAAACATTTTCTCCGAGAAACCAGTAGTGGTAAGTAGTTTACTTTTCTGCTTAAAGTAGAAACCAGTAGTCCTACTAAATCGAGAGTTGACCATTTGGTTTTTAAACACTCAGAGACATTTTTGAGTGTGTGTGTATATGCATTGCATGGAATTGAAATGGATGAATGCAAAACGGAAATAAGGAAAAAAGGAAATAATTCACAATGTGAACATTGCAGAGTACGAAAAATTGGCTAATTAAAAATCCTATACAATTACGAAAGGTCACTATTTCCTCATGTAAATAATTTTTCAGAAGCCATCTTTCTTTATGTCTTCTTGAGTAATTTATGTTTTTCTAATTTTTTTCATATTTTACATAGATACTCTTCTGTGAATGTGAAGTTCGATAAGACACAAGATTTAATAATTTAAAATTTAGTTTGATTGAACGAGTCTATGAGGAGCCGAATATTTGAGACCGGAAACAAAGTTCAAAATTCTTTACATTCAAATGTGAATAAATATAGCTTGTAACATACGATAAGAAGTGAAAGAAGAAGGGAAAATTACTCAAAAACTTGTAAATTGACTGTATGTACAAATACATCGGATATTATATGGTCCAAATGACGAGTGATACAGGGTCAAGCGATGGTTCAAATGTCCAATGTTTGCTATTAAATGAAACTCTTTCTCCACATTTCCATATTTCTCGTTGCATTATTCATATTCCGGCGTTGAGTGAAAACAAGATAGTAAGAATGCAAGCGATTTATTGCTCCAAACGATATTAAAATTGAAATTTAAGATGATATGTATTGTACTAGAAGTAGATAAGAGTTTGCCCATTGATGCTTTTTATATTAAAATAATTCTTTGTTTTTTTCTTCTTCAAATTATTTTAGCCAATTCAAGCCCAAAAATATTTGGACCAAGTCATAAACGAATTGAAGGTCTTAGCATTGTCGAACAGAATGAATTGAAAGGTGCTGCCTGGTTTCAAGCTGGTATTCCACGTGAAATTTCACTAGAAGTGCTTAGTCGTCAAAGTCCCGGTGCCTTCCTTGTTCGCCAGAGTAGCACAAAACCAGGATGTTTTGCTTTATCGCTGCGTGTTCCACCACCTGCACCAAAGGTGTCACATTATCTCATTTTGAGAACTTCACGTGGCTATAAAATCAAGGTAATCACCCATCATTACAGTCGATTTGAAAATATGTTTACACGTACCGTTTTCGTTGTTTTTTACAGGGTTTCACAAAAGAGTTTTCATCACTTCGAGCACTGATAACACATCATTCGGTAATCCTCCTGAAGATAAAAAATGTAAAAAAATAAATAATTTTATAAATTTATGTTTTTAAATTTAAATTATTAGGTAATGCCTGAACTTCTTCCTGTACCACTCGCATTGCCGCGACCACAAAATATAGTTCCACAGCGGCGTCATCTGGATGACTTCGATACGTATGGTTCACTCACAGACATTCGTAAAATGATGTCCGATTTGAATGTGTGATTTTGCCGAAAGGCAATCACAACTTCAATGTTCATTTTGTAGAGCTTCTCAAGTCAGTGATGTGAATTAGAAATAATAGATAACGAATAAATAGGAAAAAAAAACAAATAAAATATTTAATTTATGATTTATGTGAAAATTGTGCGAAATTTGTTATTTGAACCAATAATTGTAAGTTGAAAGCGAAATGCCGAAATACGTTGCATATAAATGATAATATCCTTATAGGTTATAGGTTTTTAATGTGTATCATTCCAAAAAGTCACCGCAAACTGTCAAGTGACTCGATTACTTAATTGTGTGATAAATCAAGACATTACTTATAAATGTAAATGAAACGAATAATAAATGTACGAAAAATCGAATATATTTTCCACAATTCATTATCTTTTTGTATGGCAAAATAGATTGGAAACACTTTGAATACGCTTGCACAATGTCTTTATCTCGGTCTTTATGCACAAAGTCTTTTGGAAACTGTTGAAAAATGTAAGTAAATGAATCTATTGGGCTGAATGATGAGAATAATCAAAGGAAACCTTGTATAAATACGACTAAGGCCCAATTTGATTACAATATGAATGTTTTGGAGCGAAAATGTAATACAGAAAAGTTGAGCGAAAAAATGTCAAATGAAAAGGGATAACTATATATAGTTCACTATAGTTTACTTTACAGTTTACTATATAGCTATTCCTTTTTCGCTCATTCATCATCGACATTTTTCCGCTCAATTTTTTTGTATTACATTTTCGCTCCAAACCATTCATATATAAATTGCGCAGGCAACAAAGGTCCAAATTAAACTTAATCACTGCTTTGGGCTGCTAAAATATGATAGACCCTCAAAATTTTACTTTTTTAAGATGCACATTTCCACTTTGGAGATGTGCATCTCCATGGCGGAGACGATTGCCCGGAGAGTACACTCAGTGCGATAATCGTAGGACTGGAACATGCACTTCCAAACTCTAATGTGCTCGTATTCACCGATGCATCAGCCAATGATTACTGGTTAGAATATGAAGTAGAAGAACTTATACAGAGAAAACAGGTCACTGTATGCAATTTACGCCAGAATGCGTTTGAAGAAAATCAGAACCAAAAGTTATTGCTATTGCATTTGTTCATTTCAGATGTCAATCCTATAAACGGGCTACTGTGACAATAAATCAAATGAAAAGTATAAAAAATACGAACGTTTAACGCAAATCAGTAACGGCCGTGTGCATGATATTAGAGCTGATAGAATTGAACCGATTCTGAGTGAATTTAGTGCAAAATTAGACAACCATCACGTTTTATTAACATCTTGTTATGTATCTGAAGCAGATGCATGTCGTTAGGATTTTTCGGTCGACCAAACCGTAAAAAAACTTGAGCTTATAATTTCTGGCGAAGAGGCAAAAATGTGTATTTATCGCCTCGATGGTAAGATTGTTGAAAATGCTAACGAAACGGTAAATTTAACAAATGTTAAAGCCTACACCATTGAAAGTCCACCTAACGGCACATGGGTGATTGATGTGATGTCAAAGAGTGCACACTCAGTTCGCATAACTGCCGACAGCTCACTGTCATTTTCATATGGATTCTCCGCTGGACCGGTTCAACCACCAAATTATATGTTAGATACACACTTCTTTCCATTGCAGTTAATGCAGATTTTCAGATGTGATTTTTTTTACATATTTATCAACATTTAGGAACGCAAAATGTTCTGACAATCGTTCCGAATGAATAAGACAATCTAAGTGAAGTACACTTACTAGCTACTGCACACCAATCGAAACCAGTTGTTTTACCATTAAATGCGGATAAAATATTAAACCTGGCCAAATATTCATATGAAACAGATCCATTTGAGTCGCCTGAAGAGGATTTTAAAATTTCGGTTAGAAATAAAAAAAATAACGATTCGTCATTCTCCATACCATTAACATTACCATTGCGAATGAATTGAACTGTGTGATTTTAAGATAAATGGCTACAACGAAAACGGAATTCAGATAAATAGGATGATATCTACAACATTACGAAAATTGAACGGACCTCCACCAGATGTATTTCTAAATGCAACCAATTTGAATATTAACGAAGGTGAATTTTTGCTGCTGAAGTATATGGTTCATTCTTTAGTACCGTTTAAAGTCAGCATACAGCATGGAGATCAGCTGTTAAAAAGAGAGTTACAATCGAAGTAAATATCTTTACTAATATTGACATCTTTTCGTTGTTGAATATATGATAAATTTTATTGTTATTCCAATACAGTGGTTCGTTGTAGAATCTATCGCATAAAATTGAATCAGCTGTCTTAGAGGATAGTGGACAATACTCATGCATTGCTACAAATATGTTTGGTTCTTCAAATCAAAATGTTAGTGTTGAAGTAACTTGGGTCCCACCGCCGATTGTCATTGAAAAAGTGTTCACGGTGACCATTCCAAAGACAGAGTATGTTGGAAAAGAGAATCAATCACAGCTCAAAATTCTGTGCTCTATTTCGGTGGAACCAACATCAACACTGAACATAAATTGGTATCTTAATGACACTAAAATTAATATCGATGACAATACGTACAAGGTAAATTGCTTAATTGTTTGTTTTATATTAAATTTATACTAACTTAGCGCTTACTTCAATCGATAGAGGGTGGGCTAGACAAGAAGTTCCACTCTATTTTACTGTTGAAATAGCAAATTCGGAGTCAGAATATGTACAGCACAAAAATCATTCGCATTTTTATTTAGCTACGCTCTCTCGATTGAGGTATGAACTGAACAAGGTATGTTACCGAGCTGTTGATTTCACTTATTGATTCACAAAAACAATTTACCTACTGTATGCACTATTTGATTTCAATTTAGTTAGCTGGAAATAATTTGATCGTTTCTTACTTGACGATAGAACATTCTGGTAATTACATATGTCTTGCAACTGAAGATAGCGTAACAAAATCAGCGTCAACACAATTAACCGATACTTCAGGAAACGGATAATGATGGTAACGTTTTCATGAATTCAAGTTGATTTCCACTAAATGGTTTTACTTTCAATATGTCTTACTTAGATATTCACGTCAAACATGGAGATTCGCTAAGCGTTAACTATACAGGGAATGCATTACCACCAGTGCAAAGCAAATGGAAACTACCAAATGGTACAGAATTTGCAAAATCTAATATTAATTATTATAATAATTGCGAATCGAAAAGTTTGAATCTTCCGATGAGGGAATGTATGAATGTGTGCTTGATAATGGCATTGAGCCAGCTGCTGTGCGTCGAGTGGCACTTCGATTAAAGCAATGATTTATCAATGTGAAAGAGATATGAATTCAACTTAATTCATCTCCTGGCAATTAGCAATAGAGTAGAATAATACTAAAAATTCAAGTGTATTCTGTGCCTACAATTTTTTGTGAAAATTACATTAATATAAAAACAAAAATAAAATACCAATTGTGTTTTTTTTTTCAATAAAATGTTTACGTATGTTTTATATGACAACTCCATTGATTCGGCTCCCAAAATACAATGTCGTCAACCTCCTTTTTGACAATCAGTCTTTCGACAATACACAATTACAAGTACCGTAATGAGAATTTTTCAAACGCAACTACATGCAAATAAATGATAAACTGAGTTGAATAGCCGCTCATGCAATGAATTGCCCGAAATACATCTCACTGCATTGCCCGATTGAATACAACTAAATGTACGGCTGCTAGAAAAGTTTCTATCAAGTTGAAAATAAAACAAATTAGAATGTTACGTATTTGAGTGGCTGAGATCTAAAATGTGTCATTTTTTTCACGGTTGGAAGTAGTAGGAGCGATTGATGCATTTTAATTTGAAATGTGTCAATTATGTAGAGATGTTGGTTTGTTCATTATGAATTTCAAAATTCAACGTCATGTCAATATATACCAGATTACAACCATCGGTTGTCAATAAGAAATTTTCAGGAAGTTCAGATAAGATGTCGCTGGTTCACTCGATGCGACTGTACCAAATAAATAAAATAGATTACTCAGTCATGTTCTTGAAATCTTATCATTTTCTCTTTTGTATTTTTCTCCATTGCATGATGAGAATAGGATTTTTTTTCTCGTCCACTTGCTGTGCTAACAACGAAAAAATGTGTATCATTTTCAATTGCAGCAGCTCAAAACTAGATCAGAAATGAAGCGCACATTCCTAAAAATATGTATGAAACAGTGTTTTGCGGTACATTTCAACAGAAATCAACGTTTACGCAACTAAAACGCGCACTGACCTCCAAACCGTATTCTGTAGAATAGCGATAAGTCATTTTACATTCGATGCAAAATACGGAAATATTGAAATCAGTCCAAATAAAATCATTGTTTCGTGTTGACGTCTGTAAAAAAAGTGCTTATTGACGAAATATTCATTACAAAATTTTAAAATGCCAAATATTTGGTTGTGCTGTCCATTGATATTTATGTGCTTATTTTTATCATCAACACATGCTTTGACAAATGTAGATAGTGACGTTTCTAATGTGTTGCCACAACAGCTGCATGTGAACATTCTGATGCAGGACAAAAGCAATGATGATCAAAGTGCTTATTTGGAAAATGGAATTATTGAAAATACAGTGCGTTCACTTGTGAAGCGTAAAGCAAATAATTGGGTGGACACATCAATGAAGAATAATTCGCCAAGTCCATGTCAACGGAGCTTAGCACTTGTTTTTGATGCGACCGAATCTATGTCAGATGACCTACAGCAACTGAGACAGGGCACCGAAAAGATTTTCAACAAACTTTCCCGCCTTGACAATAATCCAATTTATAACTACATCTTTGTACCCTTTCATGAAGAAAATGGGACAATAGGTTTGTTAGATTGAGAAAAGAGTATTTGTTTAACGTTGTTCAATTGTTGCATGGATGAAATTCGTTTTAGAAACGGGGCCATCACTGGTGACCGACGACAGAGACAAGCTTCTTAACATTTTGGATAATGTACATCTCTATGGTGGTGATGATTGCCCCGAAAACATGCTAAGCGGTCTGATTGAATCACTGAAGTATGCACTCCCAGGCTCTTATGTGTACGCATTTAGTGATGCATCAGCAAGTGATTTCCTTTCCGAAAGTCAACTCGTCGAATCTCTACAACGAAAACAGGCCACGGTAGGTTTATTTTGCATTGCATTTTGTATGTGTGCATAACCATTCTCATAATTTTAGATATCATTACTACTAACTGGTTACTGTGACAACAAAGAAAATGAAAATTATAGAGTATACGAACGACTAACACAGATTAGCAACGGACAAATATATCATATCAAATCGAATGACATCGAACAAATTTTAAATGATGTTTCAACGAAACTCAACGACCATCACGTATTAATAACTACCAGCTACAAATTCGGTGGGGGGTCAAACCGATGGAATTTCACAGTGGATGAAACGATGAGTAAAATTCACGTAATTATTACTGGCCAGGGGCCAAAGATTTGGATATACGATTCAAATAAAACAAACATCATAAATGAAACGTTAACTTTGGATAATGCAATTGGTCATACCATTGACAATCCATCTGCCGGCATATGGGAAATTGAGTATGTATCGAGTGGATCACATTCAGTTCGCATAACTGCTGAGAGCACATTATCTCTGTCGTATGGATTCTCCATACAACCGGTGAGTTCTCTGTCAGATGCATCGTACACGCCTCTGAATGGTAAGGTTATTTCATAAACAAAGAATGGATCAGTTGTTATATATATATATATATTTTTTTTTTTTTGCTATTTTAACGTAATATTCGCGCTTAGGAATGCCGAACATTTTATCGATTGTATCATCCGAGAAAGTCAATTTGATCGAAGTACACTTTCAACCACAAGGTGAAAATGCAGAAAATTCCAAACCGATTGTGTTGCAATTAAGTGAAAGACTACAAACTACAAATACAACAAACTATTTTTATGAAACAACAGAGGCGTTCGATCCACCTAATGATTTCCCATTTAAGATTTTGGTGGGAAAATTTCAAGAAAATTTTCATTTCTATTGATTACAACAATTATCGCATACATTTTAGGTGAATGGCTATAGCGAAAAGGGAAATCTGATAAGACGAATAATATCCACTAGTCTACAAGTAATGGATGGGCTTCCGCCTGAAATTTTTCTAAATGCAACAAATGTGACTATAAACGAAGGTGAATCTTTGCTTCTAGAGTGTACGGCTCATACATTGGTTCCGTCCACAATCTGGATGCAACATGAACAAAAACAGTTGAGAGAGTTGCAGTCAAAGTAAATGTTGCTACTAATATCGATATATTTTTTTAATCACTGAGTGAATATTTCAATGCAGTCTAACGACGGACAATGTGTCATATGAAATTAAATCAGCGGCCTTAGAAGATAATGGAAAATACACATGTGGTGCTACGAATATGTATGGTACTTCAATCCAAATTATTGAAATAGAAATCAAAAGTGCCCCATTAGATGTTCGCATACCCAAGGCTGAATATATTGGAACCGAATATCAAGCGGAAATCCAAATTCCATGTACCATTTCACCGGAGTCAAAATCTTCAATATACACAAAGTGGAAATTCAATGAATATGAAATTCAAATTGGGAACGATGGCAAGGATTACAAGGTAACGCGTTGTTTGGCGTCATAATCGAATGCGAATCTTGAATCAATTTGAATTGCAAATTAGGTTTCAGGGAACAATTTAATCATTCTTAATTTGCGGAAAGAATCATCTGGCAAATACACATGTATCGTGACTGCGGCCAGTGAAACAAATTCAGCGTCTACGCAGTTAATTGTTCAATACGCACCGTTATTACAAGAATTGAAAGAGGAGGGTGGGTGAAATGACCACAAAGCAGACAGCTGCAACATATCGCCTCACACACAAAAAGCGCCATCTGCACATATACGACTATTCAAAAAGAAACTAGCTGTCATCAGTATCGATGAGTCATCGATGTTCAATTTTGGGTCATAAACGGTACATTGCAAATTATAAATGTGTCGTTTATGACCTAAAATTGAACATTGATGACTTATCGATACTGATGACAGCTAGTTCACTTTGAATAGTCAAATATGTACAGATGGCGCTACAAAATCGTTCACCAGTGATAAACGTCAAATTAGTATGGAAAGAAGTCAATGTTGCAGCCTCCTGCCACAAAGTCAATTCAGATCTTCTAATTTTCTGGTCTAATATTTCATCTTCAATATTTTTCACAGTCATTAACAAAGTCCCTTATGGACAACCGCTGACTATAGGCTGTTCAGCAAATGCGTTGCCACCAGCACAAACGAAATGGAAACTACCATCTGCTACAGAGTTCAAAATATTGGAAGGGCCTTTGCATATTGAAGCATTATCATTTTCAGACGAGGGTGGGTGAAATGACCACAAAGTCAAGGCAACTCTTCAAATTTCTGGTCCAATATTTTATTTTCAATATTTTTCACAGGTCAATATGAATGTTTGCTTGACAATGGTGTTGAGCCAGTCGCGACGCGTACGGTTAAGGTTCGAGGTGAAGCAAACGGTCCACCGAATATTTTGAAACCGAGCATAAAACAATTGAATGTATCCGAAGGGGACGATATTGTTCTGAATTGTCATTGCGAAATGTGCGATCCGTTGAATACGATCTTCTGGACTCCCGAAACTAATGAGGATGAAACAAATATTAACGATGATATCGGTGAAGAAAATGAATTGGCAAATATTATCGATTTTTCACGGACCATTAAAAATATTTCGCTGGAAAACAGCGGTAAACATACTTGCTTTATAGAAAATAGTCACGGTTCCGATTCATTTTCGATTGAAGTTAATGTGAAACAATCCCCAAACGTTAAGACATTGTATGAGAAGAGCTCATATCATAAATGCGTTTCCAATCCATATGTGAATTCCGTTGAATTGGAGTCAAAAAGCTCTAATGTTACGTTTCCATCCAATGTTTATGATTGTAACGCATCTGATGCCCACCGTGCAGATATTAGTGTGATGCTTTTGGGTAAGTTCATTTCATTCAAATAAAGTAAAGAGTAGAAAAGAAATATTATGAAAATTATCAGTATTACTGTCCAGTTGCAATATTCCTTTGATTTGAAATAATGTTTCCTTTTTTTTCACCGGCAACTTGAATCAGCTCGTTTGATAATAGCATTTGATAATTAGTCAGTCACGCATTTGTATCACTGTTGTATATGTATAATCTATCTATTGACTACTTCATAATGTTAATTGCTTCATATTGCTGATAATTTGTAATATTAAAACCATTAAATTAGAAATCGATTACCTTTTGGAGGCACATCTCCAAAAACTCCGTGCGATTACGATTAATTCAAACAAACCGAATGCAATATCGAAGTGCTCGTTAAATGCACTTCAAACACCAGACTTGACGCAAATTATAAGCCGTAAAGGACCTACAGTAGTTGATTTACAATCAAACTTGTTAAACAGTGACGTATTCGAATGCATTTTCAATGGAAGTTCACCTTTTGACGCAAAGCCTTTACTTCTACTTTTCGGTATGAACAAAATATCTAATGAATCAGCTTTAAATTATTCTATTGACGCGGTTCATTTTTGTAACAGTGACACCGAAATCAATCCCAGAAAATGATTCGAAAATTATTCAAGTAAAATCAAAACATAACAAAACAACGGTTTTCAAGTGTTCGACTGCCGTCACACCGTCCAAGTGGTCTAAGCAACCGTATACATGCGAGAGTTTTAACAACATTGCCGCCACCAGTAATCCGTTTTACTTTCTAGTCCAAGGTTTTACAAATATCTATTTCCTTTTAGTTCAAAATACTTACAATTTGCATTCTTAGATCCACCAAAAATTCTATCCATTTTTGACGAAAGTATACGTGTGATAAGAGGAGAACGTAGTTCAATCGCATGCACTGCCGCCGGAAGCCCCGATGGGTTACAGGTTTATTGGATGGACGATCAATCGATTGTTTCGAATGATAGTGTATTAAATCTCGACACTGGAAATGCACAATTCAACGAAAAGAATTTCACTTGTGTGAGCAAAAATTCATTCGGCAAAGATGACTCGATGGTTGTTGTTCAAATTATCGGTGAGATTGTGACACAGAAACATTTTGATGGTGAACTCTTGTTAATATTTTCGTTCATTATTAGATAGACCGGAGCTTTCAAACGATGCTATTGGGTTAGCCCAAGTGGAACACATCAAGCTGGGAGAAGGATTTAATTTGACGTGTCCCTTTGACCATTTCAACCGCTTTGATTGGTTGAAAAATGGAGAACCGTTCAATAATAAAACGAGAATTATTGATTTTCAACATGTTTCCATCTCTGATGCAGGTATTTTAACAGATTCTAGCTCGTTTTCTTCTTGTGAAGCACATTACCTTTTCGTCTACTTCTTGTGATTGTCAGGCAATTACACTTGCCGTGTGAGCAATGAGGCAGGGCAAAATGAGTACACCTACCAGATATCGGTCCATTACTCACCAGTCATTCAAAACTCAAGTATAAATGATACCATTATCGATGTCACGTTGGCCACAAACTTTTCAATCGATTGTCAGGCTTCGGGATTTCCACTTCCGAAAGTAAGCAACTTAACGACTTAAAATTCATTTCATACATACATCGAATTTGTCATATTTTCCACGCATTGCTAGTTTGAATGGACACACAATGGCGATGTTATTTCATCGAATGCAAGTTTATTCATTGATAAATTGGATACATCCAATCAAGGGGATTATGTGTGCACGGCTACAAATGAAAATGGCGCATCCAAAGTTGCATTCCGTTTGAACGTTTTGTGTGAGTATAATTCGCGTTGATTGAATGTTACAATCGTGTTCATTCAAAGAATTCTTGCCTATAGACGCACCAACACCAGAGACGGACGCTGATCGAATAATTGAAGTTGTACAAAATCATTCAGTTGTTCTGAATTGTTTAGTGGATGCAAATCCCAAGCCGACCTATGAATGGTATAAAAATAAGTGAGTACGGAATACGGTCAACTCCAATTCTTTCGTTCACTATTTTAGGATTTCATTGCAGAGCCAAAATAACCGGAGCTAATGAGAGTTATATCGAAGTTCATGACGTTAGTCTGATTGATAATGGAATATTTGAATGTGTGGTAACGAATGCTGTATCAAGCAGTGTAATTCCGTTTACACTTAATGTATTTGGTGAGCGATAACCAGCCAATTTTTACACATACCTTATTGTTTTCAACTCGAATCATTTCTATCTATTCAGCCTCAGCATCGATACAATCTGTGTCGGAAAATTCAACATTTGATGAAAAAGATGAAGTTGTTTTATCATGTGATGCAATTGGCAATCCGCTTCCGGTTTTAAAATGGTCGTATGACAATCGAGTTTTGATATCGTCATCCAAATCGAATTCGTCGGACAAGTCTCTGCCATCCAAAACATTCAGATTAGATAATAACACAGATTTGATTGAAGAACGATTCGATGGCGACCAAGACAATATCAACGGAGTGATTCGTTACAAACATCCGTATAGCATTGAAATCGAATTGCATCTAAATCTATGGCCAACTGGCGTACATCGTTTCGATTGTTCTGCTTTCAATGCATATGGCAGAGATGACCGCAGCACTTTTATGGAACATGTATTGAAACCAACATTTCCACTTAAAAACGACACATTGATTGATGTTTCAGATGATGTTCCAGTCGCCTTGGATTGTGACGTAAACGGTTATCCAGTACCAGAAATCACTTGGCAAAAAGTATGTAAGTCTGAAAATTTAACTAAAAATAACTTTATATACATAATGGTCAACATTTTATTCTCATCAAAAAGAATGACATTGGCATCGATTTTGCTGTACAACAAGCGCAAAAATACCACCTAGAAAATGACAATAAAACTTTACACATATCATCTATAACACCCGATGATGATGGCGAATCTTATTATTCCTGTGTTGCTACAAACTCGATCGGTACTGGTAAATACGTTTTTAAACTCAACGTATTGACGCCGCCCAGGTTGTCCAAATCCAATGACAGCACCAATAAATTCGAAACAACGTTGGTCACTCGAAAGGGAGCAGCAGTATTTGAATGTCCGGTCAATGCGAATCCAAAACCAAAAATAGTCTGGACCGAAAAAAAAGACGACACAGAAAAACTAGTAAAATCGAGCGAAATTTCGACACTGGTAAAGGGCTCAACTTTCATTTTAACTGTTAGAAATGATTTTGAACTTAACATAGGTCTTTTTTCATTACACAGAAAGTGGATAATTTGCATGAGAATACAGTATTCATTTGTTACGCAAACAATTCAATGGGAAACTTTAATTATACCTTCAAAGTATTGGTTGAGAAAGCTCCCGAAATTCTGTCACCTGTATCAAATGAACAGAATTTCAATGTTGGCGACAGTTTCACTCTAAAATGTGACATTAGCGCGCTACCAGAACCAAGTATCAGCTGGTATAAAAATGGAGATCATGTCACAACGGACGGACAAGCTTTTCACAGAAGTGCCAGTCATGCATTTTTATCAGCCGACCGAAAATATCTACAGATATTAAATACTACAGCTGATGACTTTGGAGAATACGTATGTGTGGCTGAAAATTATTTGGGTAAAATTAAACAATCGTTTGATGTAATATTTCGTCCATACTGGGGCGAATGGTCGAAATGGGGTGCATGCTCTGAAATATGTGGCAAAGGATTAACAGAACGTCATCGAATTTGTCATCAAATGCCATCGCATCGGAACGAAATCAGTTGCGTTGGCGACGACAAGGAAATGGCACAATGCATCCGTGAACCATGCAAATGGTCAAAATGGTCTGAGTGTTCTCGAACTTGTGGAGAAGGACAAAAGTATAGATATAAGGGTAAAATGATCGAAATTGCGCCTTGCATACGGAGCGTTTGCACCGAGAAAAGCATACTTGATAAATACACTCCCCTCATCACATATGAATCACCTAGAGATACCAATAAAGTGCTGCAACAACTGAACCGAAACAAAAATCAACGAGGTAAACCATCACGAAGTAAAGGCACCAAAGCTACAAATCCTTCGAGGTCATCACGAAGTATGATATTTAATGTCTAAAGGAATGAAAAAAATCCAACGATCAAACGATAAAAACGAACAAAATTATTCATTGCCCAATTTTACTGCCCGAATCCGTTTTAAAACGATGGAAGACTTTTACAAGAGAAGTCGATAGTAAACGCAAAGTATATATATGTTTTTTTTTTTATTAAAAATTTATTTTCAATGTAAAAATTCACACATAAAAACATTAATATTTAAATTAGTTGTCGTTTTAGAATCTGTTAATAAGGCACACAATTAAAAAGGTTTTAATCTTCTCTTTCAGTTTTTGTTTCATTTTTTTTCTCTTGCAAACAAACGAACAAATAAAACGAATAATCCATGGACAAATCGTGTTCTAGTTATGGAACTATTTGAGATTTTGTGTTGTTTACTGATTTTACTTATTTTTGGGGCAAAGCGATTTTTCAGTTCGCCACAATGAGATATAGGAATTTAATGTTGGCCTTTGAATGATTTAGATAAAATGGTACATCAATTCGTGTCATAATACACAAATTTCTCATAGTATTTAAACAAGTTAAATTATAAGCTTCATTGTAGTCTAACGAATCGCCGAACTGATGTATGTGGTTTCGACTGGTTGGGTGGGTCACAAATTGTCAATGGATTAGTGTATTGGTCATATACGTCGCAGTGTATTGCTTATTTCAATAATTTTTAATAAGTACACGCTATTGAAAAACAATATACTCTCTTTGTATACAAAGTATTATAATAATGATTTGTTTGCGCTGTGCAGATATATCGAATATTACACATCTATTGCCATTGAAATATTTGAATAAACGGTCAATCATTTTTGTATATAGTACATTCGCTAAAATAATTTGATTTTTTGCCGGAAAATAATTTGTTTTAAAATAAATTTCGATTTCTTAGTTGTTGTAAAGTATATGTGTGTGTTAAATTTGTGCATTGCTTTTCAATCGCTTTTTAATCCTATGATTATTTGTTACAATTTAATTGAGATAAATAGATTTTAAAGGTATAAGATCTTGAATTAAATGGATGGACAGTAACTATGGATGTATTAATGCAATTAATTTTGTTTTTGTTTTAATTATTTAAAAAATAAATTGGATTTTATTTGTTGTTTTTGTGGCGTTCTTTTGAAAATATTGTCAATTGTTGTGCATCATTTCGGTGTGTCGGTACGTACCAAAATCACCTACCAAGAGATGGTGGGGCACATTGAATGTGCTATTGGGCAAACAAGAAAAAAAAAAAACTAACAAAAGCCACACGCCGAAATTGAATGGAAACATTGCAAACAAAATATTTAATCATCATTTGTTGTCAGTCCTTTAAATTTGGTTCTATCACTTCAAGTTCATAATGTGGCAGAAGCATTGTATTGTTGGCTTCGACCAATTTCATGCGTATTGAAAAGAAATTCTCATCGATGGCACAATATTAAAAATATTTATTTGTTTGTGAACGATTCCATTGAATTACTAGTGTATATATATATATATATATATATATGAATATATACGGATGATGGGGTGATGTGAAAATACTTAAAACCGTTTTTCGCGCTATTGCAGATGCAAGTGTAGTGAATATTTAATGAATCAATCCATTTTGAATTTGGTCATGAAATTAATGGATTTCAATGAGTACGTTTAAGTACTAACGAAGAAGGTAAACATTGTTTCTAATGCCTAAATTCATCGATTCATTTCGAGATTGGTTCACTAGGTGATTGATTTGGGCGTATACAATTTGAACTGGGTGTTTCGTGAATGGTTTTTGGCACGGTGATTCTCTTGAGTGGTTATTATGTTGGTGCCGTATTACGTATTCCATTAAAATCAATTTGCTCTCGGTGCCAATACGAAACATTTGTTCAGATGGCAGTTCTATTAATTTTATTCATATTTAAAATTAAATAACATAAACTTTTTTTTTTCAATTTTTCTATAATTTTTGTTCTCTTCTTCCCACCCCTAATTCTATCTGGTGGTGGTTAATTCTGTGCGTATAAAAAATCAATTACATCCATATTTACTGCGGCGGCGTTTAGTTGACATTCGAATTGAATGACCTTTTTTTTGTCCATTTCATGCTTATTGATTGCACTTGCAGACCAAGAAATCTTAAGTTTAAAAAAATCTTAAGAGTTCAAGTATTTTATGCCAAAATATCGGATACACACTTGCAAAAAACGAAATGAAAACGTGGTAATAGTCGTTTTCATTCAATTTAAGCAATGTTCAACGAATAACGCAACAATTGAGGAGTTGATGAAAAGACTGATTTGCGGGCGCGCTCCAATAGAAAGTGACTTTGAATTTTACTGCATATACAAACGTATGTCAACAAAATTTTAAATCATTCGCCATTTTTGTGTGTGTGTGCACTGTGCACAAATTATCCTCCACATAAAATCCTCAATTCACTTAATATGAATTCTGTAATGTAATCCAATAATGATCGTAGATGTATTGAAACGTTAAGCAAAACTGGACATTTTCAAATTAATTTTAATGCATCATTTTACTATCATGATAAGTATAAGATCATCATCATCATTTGACAAGCGAACAAAAGCTGATAATTTCTATTCTGTTTGCAAAATGGAGAAAAAAAATCGAGTATAATTTAAGTGGCAAAATAAGTTTGCTCTCCAAACGATTCTGCTTTGAGTGAACATATATATATATAACTTTAAAACCTAATAACTAATTGTTGATAACTAATTTTCTAAAAAAAAATCTAGTTGATAATTTAGCACACGCATACGCTTACACACGAAAACAAAATGCACAGATAAAACAAAAAAAAGGAATATCTATTTAAAATTAATACATTTCTTATGTGTATAAAAAATGAACGGAAGATGAAAATAAATATTTTCGCTATTTGATTTTCTGTTCTCAATTGTTATTCATCTTTTCCGAAGGCACTGCATATATGATGTGTGTGTGTGTACAATAATGATATTTTTCATCACCTGGACAAGAGAAATGGTAGATTTTAAATTAAAGAGAAAAGAATTCTGCATCAATTGTGTTCATACAACGGAGCAATCGATATTCACACTTCCCGAAACAAAAAAGACTGTCTAATTTGAATAGATGTTTTCGGAACGCTACTCAGCATCTGTAAAATTCAAACGTTTGAAATGACAACAATTCCAACTACTCTGTGCCGAACGAACTGTATAAATAAACATTTTACTACTTCTAAGTATCATTATGGGACCAAAGAAGGAATGCGTAGGGATAGGGCAGAGCGATGGAATGACCGAACGGGATATGATCGAATGCCATCACTAAAAGGAAGCAATTATTGCAGTGTACACAACTGAAAAGTACACACGTTTAAGTTTCGATCATTACATCGAGTCCAATCGGTCGGTGGTAGGAATTTGCAATTGAATTTTTGTTTCTTTGGAAAAAATTAAATGTTTTTGTTGTTGCTCAATCGACAAATCGCAAACGATGCATCATTAACATTGGAGCTGCCCAATCAGCTGCAAATTCATCGATTAAGATTCCGAGCGGCGCGGAAATTGGTGAAGAGTTCCAAGAAAATGGAAAGCAATGCAATACGATTTGTGAACGAAGCCAGATCATCAAGATTGTGTGCTAGATTCGATTCACACCGTTTCCATTGAGTACGTTGAACGATCGTGTCAAGGTGTGTGAATGGTGTATGACCGATCAAGATGATTGGACTGATGGAATGAAGCTACCAGAGAAAATTGTGGTGGCAAAGAGCAATGGGAAGTTATGATTGGATCGAAGAGAAATGCGACCAGCTGGGCAAAATCCAAATCAATCCCGTGGTTTTGTGTCTAAGATGATTTGCTACCGTAAAACCTGGCAACAATACGCTACAAACGGTATGGATGACAATGTTGAAAAGCGCAGAGGCGTTATCAATCACGGCGGAGGTATCCATCGATTACACAGATGAATTTGTGCCCAAAGACCCTGTTGACGAATCTCCAGTACTGTTTGGCAACGTGACACTTCGGCTGCAAAATTGATCTTGTACAGAGGTATGCTATTCATTGAATTAAAACTGAAGCAATAGTAATGTGTATGTGTGTGTGTGTGTTTTTTCTCTTTGCTGGACATCGCGAATTCTTTGGACATCAGCTGCATGATGCCATCACTCGTGTAACAACTCCTTGGTTTCCAGTCAACTTCAACAATCATCAATATCAATAGAGCCACAATTTATGTTTTATTTTTCAAAAAAATTATCCAACAGTATGTTATTTGCAGTTAGTTGAGGTCTTAGTCTCCCAGGCATCATCGATACTAGATATCGATGGTTATCTATATTCTATAGTCTATATAGATATAGGTAGAGTACATTGGAGTGATTTTTCATTGTAAGTATTCATTTATGCATTCATATCACTGCATAACTATTGGCATTCAACAATCGATTTTACGACAGTTCTTTTTGCTTCGCGAAGTGTGAATATCATTCGTTATGTTGTATGAACACCGCTAATTGATACGGAATTTTTTCCTCCTTAATTTAAAATTTGCCATTTCTCTTTTTCACGTTATGAAACACTCTAGTGTACAATAATGATATAGTTATAATTTGATAAAAAATAAATTCTTTGAAAAATAAACAATTAGGAAGTGGGAACTAGCGCTAATATAGTTTTGATTTGTGAAGAAAATATTGTCAATTCATTCTAAATTAGGTAAATAAAATTTGATTTTTTTTTTCTCATTTGTATACAATATATTCGATTTTTTTTTCGCAAGGTCAATTTTCTATAAATGGTTATAAACGAATTTTCCTAGATCCTAGTGTTGCTTTAATATTGCTCGATTGAACTCAACTGTTCAACATTTAACTCTGTGTTATGCACTTGGAGCATTTTATTGCCATTTTGTCAACCAAAATAAAACTGAAATCGTATATTGGGTAAAATGTATGTTTCTCTCGGTTTTTTGTTTGGACGTAATAATCCACTTGTGAAATGGCAAATGGTACCTGTGTAAAATATATCGTTTGTTTTACTTGTGATTATTGTCACAATTGATCGAACATTCCAACAGAGATAAATCTCAAAAGCGAATGAATACAACTACGAATAAATGTGAAGAAGGCAATAAAACTAATTTTACTTCACTAACATTTCCGATTGGGCGTTTGATTTTTGAGTAACAATAATTAATCATTTGGCAGAATTATTCGAATTTTTTGTTTTATTTTAGTGCCAAGTCAATTTAATTTCCTTTTGCATTGTTGAGCGATTGCTCAAGATGTTGTGCATCCAATGTAAACAAAGGGAAATTCAATTTATCGTAAATGGTATTGACAATATTCGGGATAAATTTGCTTAGTGAATGTTGTAAGTGAGCGTTTAATGAGTGATAATTGTTTTTACTGTCGCTGATGCTGCTGATGTATGTGAATACCGTACGCTAATGCAGTCCATAAATGTGATACGTAAGCTATGTGTGGTGTCTATGATGATATGGCCCAAGTACACATGTTTAGCGAGAAAATTCGAAGAAACTCTCGGACAAGATCTTTTGAATCGTTACTTTCGTTTTGTGCGTATATTTTCGTTTTTTTTTTTATATCGTTAAATAAAAGAGACTACAATCGAGATTCCTTGGTAAAACTCTCTAAATATTCACGCTAAAATACATTTTGGACCTTCATTTTCGCATTAATCAATTGTTAACCCAATATGATATGTTTCTTCGTTTGGCCCTTATACATAGTAATATATATGAATGAATTTGCCAACGTTCAAATAATTCAAACATTCGAGGGAGAGAAAAAGAAATACAGATGAATTTGCACTTGTCCCAATAAACTAAATTGGCCCACGAATTTGTGTAAAATTAAACTAATTAAAACAATGATCTTAATCATCATCCCGCATGGCAAATGACACATGCAATCTCACTTCTAATGATTTTTGTTTGCTTTTATCTCTTTGTTTAACAATATAAGTTGTGCATAAAATTTGAAAATTAAAAAAAATTGATCTGATTATTTCGAGCATAAAAAGGATTGATATGAAACGTTCTTACTTCTGTGAAATGACATTTTTCATGTAAATCATTATTAATCATACATTGTAATATTCGGTGAGTGCCACTAAAAAAATATCCACACTCATCTAGTGCGTGAGACGTACGCGGATGAGATGAAGCAAAGCGAAAGAAGCAGGCAACTCCATACGAACGAACGATATAGCGCGTATACATTTCGTCACTCCGTCGTTAGAATACGGACACAAACACAAACACGTAGTACCCTATGTATTGACTCTATGTTCTAGTTGCGCGCTTCCCTTTCGCTTTGCTTCATCCCATCCGCATGCGTCTCACGCACTAGATGAGTGTGGATATTTTTTTAGTGGCACTCACCGAATATTACAATGACGTTCGTTATTAATTAATTTTTTTTTTTAAACTTTTTCGATTTTGTTTTTTGCTATTTCTCTTTTTCTTGGCTTGTATCTTCTTCATATGCATCCGTTTGACATATTAAACATTTTTCATATTTAATTGAATTCACATCAATGTTTTTTTTTTTAAATCTATTATTTCGATAGAGAAGTAGTAGTTGTTAAAAAAAAATAATTAATATATGTATATGTAAATATGTATATAATAAGTCAACTATTTTCGGGGCTGGTCATGCAGATATCATTGCCAAAAGAACACTTAATACTGCCCATGTTTATGTTGTTCAGCAAATTGAACTCTTTTATGCAAAGATACACGCACAAGTATACCGGAAAATAGCAGCTAGATTAATAGTAATCATATAATAATCCTATAATAATCATAATCATAATAAAAAAAAATAGTAGTAGTAATAGTTGCACAGGTGAAGATGGTGATAATTTCATATGTTTTATTTGTTTTTGTTGAGGGGTTAGCACGTCACATAGCATTGTTCTACCAATGGCACCACGTTGTTAGCAATAAATAAAAAAAGAGAAAAAGATACGATTGGTTAGTAATTTGATTTGTATAAATTATTAATAAATTTAAATTTTTTTCTGTTGACTTATGCTAACATTCAATAAAAAAAAAAAATTGAATTAAAAAAAATAAATACAGAAAAAAAATAAAATTGCAAAATGAATAGAGCTTCTGCGAGTCGAAGAAGAGTTGAGCGATAGTTCGCTGTAAAATAGATTTTATTCAATCGGGTTTCTTGTTTTGGCTTTCAAAGAGTGCACATGAACATTTTAAATAGATCCCATTTTATTTACGATAGATAGACAGACCGGAAGAGATATAAATATGTACATATGTGTATATCGCTAAAAAAAAATGTACAACTCAAAGCAGTGATTGAAAAAAAGGTAATAATAAAATATGATTAATTGTTCACATTCACAAAATACAACAAAGTAAATTATTCTAGCGACGACATAGCTTAAGTATGACGATTTGATTTGATAACAGCGCCAAATTCGATAAAAAAAAAAATTTGGGTTCGTAATTTTTTTTTTTTGGTTCGAAATCGAATGAAAAGCTCTATTTTTTCGCACGTTATTGATTAATTCATATAAACGAGGCAATCCCTAATCAGATCTAATTGTCATTTGCTCAGCATATAGTAAACATTGATGCGAGGTATTGAATAGTCACATTCTGATTCAATATATATATAGAGATATATGTGTGTGTGGGAACAGTGCTAGAATGCGATCAAATTAAGAGTTGTTACCAGGAGAATAAATGGGCTTGATCGATTTTGCATTTTCATTCCCCAATGAAAAATCAAATTAAATTAAAAACCCGTCTCAATTGGCCAAGTGAGAGAGAAAAAAAGATAGAGAAAAAGAGAAATCATTCTTATTTCAGAACAGAATTGGGAGCTTGACTGGGTGTATGTTTGTGTGTCAATGCAATCGTATCAGAATGTATGAATAATCTTAATTTTGAAAGAAAAAAAAAATGATTCTAAATGTGTCCTTGTATCATTATTATAATTCACATGCTTGCTATTTACGAACTGTAAATATCCACAAACAAAATGCGTTTTGGTCGTTTGCTTTAACTAATTGGTTGATTGATTGATTGTAGCTCAGCGTGTGTGTGTGTGTGTGTGTGTGTGTATTGGTGTGGAAAGTGAAAGAGAAAATAGAATTTAAGTACAAATTCTGATTCAATTAGCTCAATAAATAAATTAATTAATCATCATATTATATTGAATTCAATGAAAAATTAAGTACATTAAGTTTAAATTTGAAAAAAAGTATGTTAACTTGGCCTTTGGTTAGTTCAATTGATAAGATTTCAGTGTTCGATTTTAATAATTTTTTTTTTCAATTAATTTAAACAGTTTACTTATAAAGCTGAGTACAATAGATGTTATCAAGTTATTTTCTGGTACCATTTCTTCTGTTTTTTATTTAAAAAAAAATGTCTGTAGAAAAGTATTGTCAGAAAAATAGAATATAGCATAAATATTGGTGGTAAAGAATAAATGTGCGTTAAAATGCAGTACAAAAACTATCAATAAAATTATATATGCGTGAGGGATAGGCAATAACATGTAGAAAATGTTTCGATTCGGTTAATTTCGAGAACAAGAAGAATAAAAAAAAATATTACTTTTCCATTTGTTATTTAAATAAATCATCGAAATAATTGATCCTTTCTTTAGCATTATCACATTTGGGTTGCTTATTTGTTTAACGAGTGAATTAGTCTAAAGCTTGAAATACTAGTATTTGACAGGATCGATATTCAAGGAGATTTTTTAGTTAGAAATATATATGTATATGATACTGTCACAAGTTATCTTATGGAAGCATCGCTTTGAAGAAAAACAATTTACCACGTGAAAACACACGAGTTTAAAAATGAATGTTGCTTGAAATGCGTGCTCCTATTGATGAACACCTGATGCAAATCAGGAATCGTTGAATTGAAATCAAACGAAATCAATGGACTGTTTTTTTTTTGGTGTTGATAATTCAAAAGATAATCGACTTTATTTTTTATTTATAAATTAAAACGCATTAAAAGAAAATCAATTTTAACGAAAATAAATGAAAGAAAAAAAATTGTTTTCTTTACAATAAAAAAAAAATAAATAAACAAACAAAAGATATTTGTTGATCTTCTTTAATTGTAACTAAAATATCTATAAATAAAAGAGTGACATAAAACTCAATAAACAAAATGAAATTTATGGTACGTCGAAAAGTACGTCTAGGAAAACATTCATTCACAATTAACACTAATTTAATGCATCGCTTTTTTTGTTTTTTTTTTTCGGTTCTTCTTAACTTTTATATTCGAATCAAATGCAAATCGAATAGCAATTTCGAATAATCAAGTAATATTGGACGAATTCGGTTTGTCATAATTACAAATTTTTCATAAAATTTTCTCTTTCGTGTTTTTTTTTTTCGTTTTTTTTATGTTTCACTTAGTTCACAAAGGCACAAGTCAACAATTAATTTTCTACCAAAAATATTTTCTAAATTCTCAATTTGTTCTCATTCGTTTCATTTAAGCCTACTTACTGTACTATTTATTACTTTTTTTACTGGAAATATATGGTTGTGTTTTTGTATTTGCATTTGAAATTCTTTAAGTTGTTTTTTTTTTGTCATCGTCTTCTTCATTCTTGCAATAAACAGCCTTTCTGATCATGAAAATAGTAAACAATACAGCGGCACCTGGGGACTAAGTGCAACGTGTCATACTTTCAACGTTTGAATTACACAGACGCACTTACACAGACGCATACTTGTTACAGCAAACTATGTGCATGATTCTCTATTTCTCCAACCAGTCGCCAGGTGACGCTTTATTGTTCTTGTTTGACGTTTCCTATCTATTTGTACAGACGATCAGAGAGGCTGGCAATAAATTGCTGAATCTTTTGTTTTGTTTTGTTTTGTTTTAAACTTTGTTCTGAGTCAAATAAATGTCAGTTTTCTCTCTCACATGCTCACGAGAAGAAAATGCAATTTTCTGGAAATTCTATTTTGTATAATTTTCTATCACACTACATTCTGTGTGTTCTGTGTAGGGTGTGAAAAATATTCACTGCCATTTGAGAATGTTCAACATAAACTTGTGTGAAAAAAAAGAGAGAGAGAGAGAGAAGAAAACTAGGTCACTAGCTGACGGAAGGGGGCGTCTGGAGAGGGGAAATATTTCGAATAGAATTCTTTTCAAAATTCAAATTCACATGTGCAGTGGATCTTTGGTGTAACATTTGATCAATGAATATGTAAATCGACAATCATCTCTGAATCAATATTAGACGAAAACTCATTGAAAGGTAACTTGAAATTTTAAAGCTAGCCTATCACTCATCATCGATAGATCGATAGGGGATAGGGATCAAAATTAAAGAGAAATTAAAGAAAAACTCGCTTCACTTCAAATAACGGCGGAGAGCAAATAAACGGTTTTGTGAAAAACATTTGAAATTGGGACTATTTTTCTTTGTATCGATATGCACTGTGAATGCTTCGTGGGCTTTAAAGACAACTTCACAGTAAAAAAATTAAAAAAAAAAAAACAAAAATAAAAACGGAAAATAAATATGTTTGATGTCGAAAAATGGCTGCAATAGATGGATGAAAATTGTGCCAGTCAATAGTTTAAGAGATAATCAAATTAAAAAAATTCAATTTGAGATTCATTTGGTCTTGTAGCTTCGTAAAATTTGACCATCCATCAAATACTCAGTCAGTTGTCGACATCAGCGATATTCAAATTTAAATTTAAAAAAAAATAAAGAAATGAAAAAAAGGAATAAAATGAACGAATAGAGGAATTGAAACTAACCTTGTGATTATTTCAAGTTAACGTTTTCTTTGTTTTGGCTCTCTGAACAACAACAAAAGTACACACAGAACAACAAAAGTGACTCTTGGATGAATTTGAAACATTTCGCATTATGCATTTTATGGTTTTTTTTTTGCTTTAGCAATGCATTGCTTGGCTTTTGTTTAAGAGAGAGTCCCAGCTCTCTGATAGGGATGTTCTCTGGTTGGCAAGCGCCTTTGTTGCTTAATTGCTCCTACTAATTATGAAAAATAATATATAATTTTAATAAAAAAATTGTTTTGTGTATATGTAAAAAAAAAGTATTATATCAATGTAAATTAAGCGACGATCTATCCGAACACTCTGCATCAATTGATTCACTGTGCAGAGTACCTGAACAACCGGCCAATATTCATAGAATAACTAAAAAAAATTATATCGAATTTACTCTCTGATACTTTTGTTTTGTTTGCATAACATTACGAATAAAACGAGAGAGTACGATCTAAAAAAATCTCCGAACTATTAAGTAAATAAACCTTTTGACGGTCTCATGACGAGCATGATTGATTTCCATATTTTCAATGAACATTTACGCAATACGCAATTGCGTCCAGCAAATATTCGGTTCGGAAAATGTAAAATACGTATAGCCACAACGACAACAACAATTACGATAAAAGCTATTTACATTCTAATGTGATTGTGTGTGTTTCAATTCGGAAATCATTAAACGGACTCCAAAACCGAACAGACGTGTGGCTGGCAGCAGTTTTACGTGCATCAGTTATGTTCCAATACTTAAAATTAATTTTTCATTCGATTGGTGAGTATAAGTTCAAAAACATAAGTCGTTCATATGCTGTGGCATAAATAAGGAACTGTCAGGCGTACATTTATGGCACTGATAATGTGACCAGTTTGCGTGGTGTAGTTACACATAATTCATTTAGACGTCGCCATCGTATCTCTCAATATTCAAATAATATTTCTCATCGAAACGGTGTGTGTATTCAATGGGTGACAGGAATGGTGTGCATAAAGAAAATTTTTGTAAATGAAACTGAGTCTCAACATGAAATCATTAATCATAATACAAAATTCAATTCCGAATTTTAAAAATATCAGTACACTTTCGCCCGTGCCAAATGCTATGAACATTTGCACGTTCGTTTCATTCAACGAATGTCGAGGAATGAGAAAAAAAAAACGTATGAATAGGCGTTGAGAACAACCAAATATTGAATAGCTCACGGTTGACGTTTGCCCAATGTGAACGGAATATGTGATTCATAAATGTTGTTTTTTTTTATTGAGCACATGGTTTCGATGGCGCGACCACATTTCTCATTCCAGAACAGCGACGATAGGCCGACGAAATTTTAATTTTCGGATGAGAGTGACGTCGAAAACAGAATCATAAATTGTGTGTTTTTTTTTTCTTTCTAAATATTTTTTAACGCAAACTGAAAGTGACTAGTTTAGTGGACGGACTGCTTTTATTTGTGTTGCTGTTGTTGTGGCTGAGCTCGTCGTCACTTGTTTCCTTTTCATTTCCGATGAAAACAGAAATGATTCAAATGACACGCCGCTGCGATAGGAAAATGCACGAAAAAAACAAACATTCATAACGATATCGAAAACTATTGATCTTCTAATAAATACTTAAACGTGATAATGTTGCGATATAAAAATATATATTGATTGTAGATTGATCGATTTGCAGCTTGAATTTCACATTCGGTTTTCATTATCTAATGAGTTATTTAGTCAATCCATTGTATGCGATTGCGAAACCGCGTTGGATGTGAAATTCAAGGAGAACAAAGTTGAAAATGGTTTTCCATACTACTCATAACAACAATTCATATTTTTCTTTCTCAAATCATTGTCATTTATCTACATAAATTCATTACAAGCACACACAAAAAAAAAGATTTCATTCGTAAGCACTTTACCGATCGGTATCCACTGTATTTAGTTTCGATTCGGGCCGTGAGCCGATGTCTTTTCACCACATGGCATTCGATCTTATCATTTTTTTTTGTTTGAAAATTGGATTTGCACTGAATGTGTCAAATATCATAAATTGATTTGTGTCAATAAATATCAACTAAAAAGTTCTGAGTATACGTAAGATGGAAAGCTCATGGCCATGGTTTCGATACAATCTTACGAACAAACATCTTTTTCAATATAAAAACTACATATTTGTGTATATTTATATATATATATAAATGTTGTTGCATTTAAAATAATGCCAGTGAAATACTCGTAACGGAAATTGGCTGAATTCGCTATGCATTGAATGCTGTTGGTAACTATTTAATGTAACTTTGTGTCAATTGTTGTAATGAGTGTTCGAGTGTATGTATGTGTGCGAAATTTTCACACGTTCGAACTGTATCTTATTGGATTTTGTTTGTTTTTTTTTTTTTTTCGTTTTTCATTTAGTCCAGTTCCATTGTGTCAAAGGAGTCGGAATTCCAATCGCCATGCCGAATTTTCACTGCATTCTTTTCACTTTCCAATTACTTTTGGCTACAAAATGATAACCTTTCCATTTTACTACAACAACAATATATTTAACAATATACGATTTCATATAGTTTTAAAGTTTCATTTAAAAAAAACGGAAACTTTCATTAATACTACAACTTTATGAAATAAAATTAGAAGAAGGCCAGGGACTTAATTTTTCTAAAACACTGAACCAGCATGCAAGTAACGACCAACTGGAAAAATTGTATTTAGAAAAATCACGTTTTAAAAAAAAAACACAAACAAAAATAAACATAAAAACAAATAACAAATAAATAAAATGCAAATAATATGATGAAAAAGTGGATTTGGTACGGATTGAACAGAAATGGTTAAAATGAATGAATGAATGATAAATTAAGTTAAACATTTCCATCAATTTGGCTGATGGCTAGTTGGGCAAAGTCCTCTATTCCAAAGATGAATCGAACCAAATACACATGTTTTGTTAAGTGTTTCTGCTTTTTTCAAACCAACAGGGAAAAAAAACGGAAAATTATATATCAAAAGTAATTGTGATGCTTTAGAATAAATAAAGCAAACTATCTTATTATAAATGCAAAATCTTTTTCGGTTCTATTGCGAACGTTTACATCAAAGTTCTGAGGAACAGAGGAATAAAGTGTATTTGCTTTTATTTATTCTATTGCATTGCACGTATTAGAGAGGAAGTACAGTGAACACGATGAGCGACAGCAAATTAACCGTAGGATTTTTCAGAGGGTGGAGGGTGAGAAAAGAGAGGGAGAGAGAATATTGTGTATCATAAATTTTGGGCGTCTACTCTGTTTTCTTCATATTCTATTTTCAATTAGTGAGTGTATTTCATTTGAAATGGAAATTATTAGTTGCAGATCGAGTCATAATTTCGAATTTGAATACAGTACAGTGATGTATGTGCGGGTTGCCAATCCCATTGCTGTCTTAAACACGAAACATGTGTGAGCCTGAAAATTGGCTTCGGAAATCAATTTAAAAATAAATCAAACATTCAGAAATTCGCTGTGAGCAAAACTGCAAAAGCGGAAAATCATTCTGAGCCTCCCGTAATGTGATTCCATTCCATGAAACGAATAAAACACAGCAGTAAACACAGCCATTGGCTAGTGTGCTAGTTGAATGTGTGTGTGATTCGGTATTAGAAAATTGTTATGAGTTTCGGGAACGAATGATATTGCTTTTGTTTGAGAAAATTCCGAAAAAAAATCATTGAAAAATAAAAAACCCGTACGATTCGTTTGAATGGCTGTTCAAGCGCTGCAAGTCAGAAATACGTAGTTCATTATTAAAAATGGGTCGTTGCGGGCTCAGTATTGGATATATTTAGCTGGAGACACACCAAACAACAATTGATTATAAATTAATTAAACGCGTTTAAAATAATACTCTTCAGCCAAATCAAATAAACTACATTTGGAAGTTTTAACGGAAAAAGGGGAATTTAATACATAAAAGCGATTGAAAACGATGCGAATCAGGCCAATTTGAGTATTTTAGATCGAACAATGGCCAAACCAATTGAAGCGAGTGTTTTTTTTCTATTTTTATTTTCATTGTTCCTTCTCACTCGAATTTCAAACTCCAAAAAAGGTCATGCATAACATGTTTTTAGCTATGGTATTTAAATGGTGACCGCAACATAATGCATATCATGTAAAGTTTTTCTCTTCTTTTCAAAACGTTTTCAAAATCGAAATGATTGGCTCGTAGTGTTCTTTTAGGTTTCTTTTTACTTTCAATGAATTCTGCACCAGTGTGAAAACCATGATACATGCAAACTTCATATTATTTTTGTTCAAACCCAAATTAGAAACAATTTTGTTTAGCGAAACAAACAAAATGGTATGGTGGCATCATTTGTACAGAGAAAATATACCGAAACACATAATGAAAAGGAAAACAAGGGGAGAAAATCGAATGATAATCTGCTTAATGCCTACTGCACTATGTATACCTAGCTAACATCTAATTTGAAGAAACATTGTTCAATAAATTATTGCTTGCGATCGAGTTTGACTTTGTTGGAAAACGAAATGGTTAGCAATCGAATTTGCTGTGTCATTTATGCATCAATGGTGTGATGTTGTGTGTTGGTTGCGAGTTTTTGTTTGTTCAAATGCATCGTATGAAGATAGAAGAAAACTGGCTATGGACTATTAATTTTCTACTTTGTTTCTGTTCAAAAATCGTTACGATTATTAAGAGTAATTAATTATTAAGAGAATTCACTATGTAGATTGGACTCTTGAGAGCGTAAGAGAGTGTGTTTTTTTGTGTGTATGAGAAAATTGTTTATCTTGCAAATAACCCACCGCTATGATCCGCATATTCCGTTAAGAGAGGATTTCCAGTCAAAGCTGCGTAGTTTGTGTAGTCGCCGTATGGTGTGGCATAAATCAATCCTGGGTGTTCTATTGTTGGTGGCGCTGAAGCGGATAAGAGACTGGCTGCAGTTGTGGGCACCGACATGCGTGGCGATAAGATTAATGGTGCTCCCAAAGGTGTTGTTTGTGAACGTAATTGTTGAGCTGTTAAACCCTGCATTCCTGGGGATAACAAGCGCGATTCGGCGGCTGATTGTGCCAATCGTCGCCATTCTTCTTCACATGCCAAAATGTGGGAATCTAAGACCATTTGATCATTCGGAGGAATCAAGAAAATATAAAGTCAGTTAGCACAAATGCACTGTTTGAAAGACCATTCAGCTGAGCCCTGCGTACGCACAAACGACCGCTGTTAGATGTATCACAATAAACCTGTGATTTCTTTTTGTTTCAGACACATGGATTAGTTTGATGTGCTTGCTAATTCATGGATTATTAACCCTTCTTCTCTCAAATATGGGATCACTGAATTGATTTTTGTAATCCCCTATCCAAAAACGCTTTTGTGGCCCATCTCAGGGCTGGTATGCAGGAGTATTACGCTCCGATTGCATCATTTATTTGTAATCAAGCCTAAGCGCTCTGTTCCATTTTTAGCTTTTCTCAGATTAGATTTGAGAATTTATCGCGACCAATTCTGTGGATCTCACATACAAATAAATCAAGCGGAAAATGAGCGCAAGGAAAACGAAATTAAAAACCAGTCACACATAGAAAACAATCCTGGACGATTTCCATTCGTAAAATAGAACGAAAATAGATTGAGTGTGATGAAAGGTTCAATGCACGCCACATTCCGTATATGTGGATATCGCATTGAGTGCGCTTGATGATATAATGCGCGTGTGCACCAATGCACTCTCTGACTTTTTCTCGATGCTTCTCTGACGCTGAAAACCTATTCAGATGGCATGTGCGCACACACGATCCTATTTTTGGGCTCAACTCAATGCTCTTTTCTTTTCCAAATCTGACTTTTGGAGACCATTTCGGCTTATTTACCTGTAGCTGCTATTTTCGTACTTGAATCTCTGTAAGTACCATTAATTATAGCCAACTCCATTAACTGTCTTTTCTTGAGCTCGTCTTCACCTTCAGCTTGCTACAATGGCATACAACAATCGATTAATTTGTGTGTTCCGATTATAAGTAAACGCATTATGGAAAAATGGATAATTTTTCCTCGATGAATCAGTTAATATGCCAACACACCTAGTACCTATAAAATGTAGAACAAGAGAATAAATTTGAACAACGAGTACTTACGGGTACCAACAGTTTCTTCACTTCTTCAACGGCACGCTCAAGCTTCATGTGTGCACGATTCTCTGTATCTTCAACGGTAATTAGAACATGTAATTCGTCAGAAAGATGCTCCCAATTTGGCTTTCCCCGATTTGCGTCCTCCTAAATACAACAATAACAATTCATATTCATTGCAAGAATTTCAACATTATCTGGGTGTTAACTCAACGATGGACGGCCATACGCCAGAATATGAAAATACTCATTTAACTGTGCTTGATTAACCGAACTCAATCTGTAAAGCACGATATCAATCAACGCGCATCAAAAATAACATATATTTTCGGCATTTAACTGAGTTTGACATTTTTTCTTAGTTTTTGGCATCCGTTTCAAATTATTTTCGCCATAGTATTTGTTAAAATGTGGGCATTATAAAAATAAATTCTACAAAAACGTCGCGGTGGAAGCGTATCAAATAAATAACTTTGGATAACACCAAAGCTAACAACGTTAGCATCTATTGCGCCGAGTATCTTGCTACTCGTCACGCTTCGATTCGATGTGTTTGCACGCTGTCACATTCATCTCCAAGGTGTCGCGTTGTAATCTTATTCGAAAAACACATGTATACACCGATTATCTTATCACAGACAAGCAAAAGAAAAGTATAAACTGAAACGAAGTGAAATGAGGAGAGAAAATCGGCGACAGCCGACGTGCAAACAGAAATGTCGTGGAAAATAAACATACAAGAAAACTGACAAAAATAAAATGTCGAATGTCGAATGTCGACACTGATGAGACTCCTTCAGATTCAATACATATCTCTCTCACACACACACTTTCTTTGCTTATATGTACAATGGCTTTGATTACTCATCATTCGAAGATGTGTGCGACGATACAGAGTAATAGTGTTCCAGTGTGATATCATTAGATATGAAATGTTTTTTCCTTCATTTTTATTATTCCCAAGGAATTGAATATGTATCGATTTTTTCGTCAATGGACAGCAGAAAAACGTCGAATGATTGTCGTATGTTATAATGGTTCCATAAAAATGTGACTAAATATAGCGTTTGCTCCTGATTTTGAAAGAAAAAAATGCTTGCACACAACGCAAACATGTTGACATAATCAGTTGTGCTACGACGTACGGCCGTGGCAGCTATCTACCATGGAATTGACTGATTCATACGAGTGGATCACATCATGTTTTTCGTCATCCTTGTTTTTTTGTTGTTGCATTTCTTTTTATTCCTTTGCTGGTTGTACGATGCCGCAAACATATCGAACGACACGATTTCAACTCAACACTCGGCGCTTCCGTTTAGAACGTTGAGATGGCACAAGATAAATGTGAAATTGATTAATCAGAAGTGACACAGTTTTTGATGATCGTGAAAACGAGTAAGATTGAGTAATGAGAAGCTCGCTACACAGCACATTTCCATGCGGTGTTCATATTGGGCGCAGAAAATAGATCAAAGCAAGCGTCTTTATTATAGAGCTCATTTTGATTTACTCTCTATTTCACAATATTGTTCTGATTTCCATACAAACCGTAAATTGTTTTCTCAAACTTACCTTTTTCTTGTCTCGCATTGATCCTTTTCCTCTGACCATAATTTTACAGCCAGTTTCTTGTTCTAGCTGTTTAGCTGTCATACCTCTTGGGCCGAGAATTCGTCCGACGAAATTGAACTGCAACGAATTTAAAGAGGAAGAAATGTTGAAAATACATTCAATAATTTGATGATGAGTAGATCAAAATTAAATTTTAGGATGGGATTAAATATATATGTGACACTAGATGTGGAGTTTGAGTATATATTTTTGATTTTGAATTCTTTGAATTCAATTCTTATCTCGATGTTGTTTTGAATGATTTATTTTGAAGTTTATTCGATCCACGCGAGGTGTTTTCAATTGCCGAACGGAACGAAATGAAACGCGTGAAAATTGCGTAGGAAATGGATGTTTACGTGCAATGAATATTCCCAAGGCAAACTTATATGAGCAAAAGCCATTCAAAGCTATGTGATCGTATTCTCCATATACGTGCGCAATTTTGGACCAATAATACCATCAAAGAATTGATTGAACAACTTTACCAGAGGTTACCATCAATAGAACAAATAATTTTTTTTTCAAATCAATCGACTTAATTCCATTTGATTTCGTTCTGTTTTGTTTTTTTCTCATCCGAGATACTTCCCGTCGTAAGAAGAAGGTGTGTTTTATGTAAAGAGGAGAGATAATTTGTATTGAAAAAAGGGCATTAACGGATCTAATGATTGTCAACATCACCAGTCAGTCATCAAAAATGGGCTTACCGATACATTCACGCACGTACATGGACATATACGTACACGTACACGTACGAACATGTATGAACTGGGCGAAAATGTACAACAAAAGAAAATTATTGATTGAATTGAAAATCAAAGACAATTCATCCAAAATTGGTTCAGTATTTAGATGGCTTGAAATGAAGCTGCCACACCTTGTGCTCTATGTGCACACCATATAATTGGAAGCCAGACCTCACTCTCCGCCATACACACGGACAAACTGTATGAGTTTGCCATGTGATGTAATTTATGTGTAACGCAACGCAATCACAATGCTTTTCAACCAAATTATGGAAACATTATAGAAATAATGCGAATCAGAGAGAAAGAGAGAGAGAATTTGTGACGCATAAAAGCACACAAAATGCAAGAACAACACAAATGAAACGAGAAAAAAAAAATATAAGCAGAAAATGTTTGAATAAACGGCAAAATTGCACTGGCTGACTTAATACGCTAATTAAGCTGTGTTCGCCTATTTTTCGTTGCTTATTGTTTTTTTCTTCTTTTTTTTTAACTGGTGCGTCGGAATGAACATTTCGGAATCGTAAATATGTTCGAGGTGAATATAGGTTTCGTTCTCATTTCTATCTATAAGTCGAAATTTCAATTTTTGTCACATTTCACGTTTTATTTTTTCGGCAACAACGGAGAACGGAGCGCAAACTCTGTTTTCTGTGAATGAGTGGCTAAGGTAGTTTTTGTCCAAAAATAACCACATCGGGATCAAAGTAATTTTTATGACTTTACCGTCAACGGACGTGCTTTTCATTTGAAATAAATCTTCTCTTTCAAGTATAGAGTCCACGGGAAAATGACTGAAACTAACTAATTTCACGTGGTTAAATTGAATTTCAAATGTGAGACGGTCGAATTTCAAAAAGCAAACTATATAGAATTCAGTCGATGTCACAAAGATTGAAGTGTTGAACTGAAGCCAACATTGATTTTTGTCGTAACTGTACTGCGCTGATTACAGCAAATTGTGGCCGTCATTGTCACCCTTTTTTAATTGCGATTTTTTTTCATGACTTATTTTCTGCACACATCGTTGAAAGTTCGAGGGGGTTGAACAAGGCAGATTCCAATGATTCAATGCGATTGCATGCAGTGTGATTATTTTATTCTAGAAAATCGAATTTTTCCATTGATTGATAATGCAATCCAAATGCTGATGGTATTATTGAAGCTGTTGGAATGATGTCGACGCAATTGAGGAAACAAAAACATTTTATTTAAAGAGTAAATACATGACGAGTTTAATTTGAACTAAACGAAAATAAACAATTCAATTATCACGCGATTGAATTTTAAGATTGATGCTCACTGTAAAATAACTTCCACGGTTTATATGTTAGAAACAAGCCAATTCGGTTTCATTCGGTACACAAATATAGAAGATAACCCCAAGATGTGACTAAGTGAATACGCTTATTTTCCATACGATCTTCGGACGACAGCCAAAAAAATATTGTTTTTGATTGACAACAACATTGTACTCATAGATGGGTATTAGCTAAATCGCCATGGCAATGGCATTGATAATGGACATTGAATCAACACTGAATGACAAATAATGTTTCTTTGACTGAGGTTATCATCAATATTCCGTTAGATCAAATGAACGAATCGTAAATTTGGTTTTGAAACGGCGATAAGCACTATAAAAGCTCATTTTAACTTTCATCTAACTTTAGTCAGTGTTAAGAAAATGAGATCGTTGGTGCTATTTGTGATATTGGCTGGATCATTTGCTTTCGTAAATGCAAAGCTGCCGCTGAAGCCAGCAAAATTAGATCCAAAATCAATTGAGTTAAATGCATTTTTACGAAAACAACAAGTGATTCTGGATGTGTTCCAACATGTCCATCAAAATGATACACAAAATAAGTTGTATGCCGATTCCGAGAACGTGGACTGGACAACTTTGGGCGAGTGGTATGAGGATCCAACAGTTGTGAGTAATTATGTGAAACGACAAGAAATCGGATTGTTGGCGCGAGGCGAAGAATTTTCCGTGCTAAAAAAATCTCACATCGAAGAGGCGATTGCTCTTTTCCGTTTGTTACATCAAGCCGAAAATTGGGATACATTTTATCGTGTGTTGGTGTGGGCCCGTTTCCATGTAAATGAAGGTGTTTTCATTTATGCATCCACTGTTGCCATTTTACATCGACCAGATATGGAAGGCATCGTTCTACCAGCACCATACGAAATCTATCCATACTATTTCTTCAGTGCCGAGACCATTCAAGAAGCTCAAACAAATAAAATGCAAGGTTTCCCAACGAGTAAAAAAGCCGCCGAGACAAACGAGCTTATTATTGAATCGAATTACACCGGGTGGAATAAACGATCGAACCCAGAACAAGTGTTGTCCTATTTCACAGAAGATATTGGTTTGAATACGTGGTACTTCTACCTACATGCCGATTACCCTTTTTGGATTGACAGTAAAGACTCAATTTTCAAAAATAGACGTGGCGAAGTTTATTTGCATACCCATGCACAACTTTTGGCTCGTTACTATATGGAACGTTTGTCAAATGGTTTGGGGAAAATTCCACAATTTTCATGGCGTGTCCCATTCCGCACCGGCTATAATCCAGCACTCGCCTACTACAAAGGCTCATCGTTCCCTGTGCGCAACAATTACTACAGCACATACAACGAGGAAACATACTATTCGATTGAAAAGCTCGAAGGTTTAGAGAATCGCGTGAAATTCTCCATCGATCATCGCTTCTACACACTGCCAAACGGAACGGTTGTTGATATCAGCAAACCCGAAAATATCGAATACTTTGCCGATTTGTACAAATATACACCATACAAAAATGATAGCAAATTCTTTGGTCTGTTGGAAGTATTGGGTCGCACGCTTTTGGGCACAGCCATTGAAAACTACAGTACCGACGATTATTTGCCAAGCGTTTTGGAACATTTCGAAACTAGCTTGCGTGACCCAGCCTTCTACCAGCTATATGGCCGCCTGATTCGTTACTATTTGCAATGGAAAACAAAACTTGAACCGTACACAGAAGAAGAAATTGGTTTTGAAGGTGTCGCAATTGAAGGTGTTGAGCTGGACCGTCTGACCACTTATTTTGACATATTTGATGCAGACATCACGAATGCAGTCGATATTGAACCGATGGCAGTACCAGCAAAAGGACCACTTACCAAATACGGTAAGAAAGCTAACAAGATGGGCGAGGACTTGATGATCAAGGCAAGACAATGGCGTCTAAATCATCTACCATTCACATTGAAATTGACTGTAACATCGTCAAAGGTACAAAGAGCTTCTGTCAAGGTATTCATTGGGCCAAAATTTGACGAAGCTGGAAATGGAATCGAAATCAACGAAAATCGTGAAAACTTTTATGAAATCGATAAATACATTGTAGACTTGAAAGCTGGTCGTTCAATTATCACGCGCAACAGTAATCAATTCACATTCTACTCCAATGATCGTACCACATATTTTGTCCTGTACAAAACAGTAATGACGGCCTTAAGTGGTGAAGCGACATTGCCGGCCGATTTCAGTCAATCAACTTGCGGTTTCCCACAACGTTTGATGCTACCGAAGGGTAAAAAGACTGGATTCGCTGTTCAACTCTTTGTTATCATAACCGAATACCGTTCACCAAGCACATGGGTCATCCAAAAGGATTGGTTTAGTTCCAGCAATTGTCGTCGTGACATCGATGCCAGACCACTCGGTTTTCCATTGGATCGGGAAATTGACGAAACTATTTGGAACTCACCAAACATGAAGTACATCGAAACAGCCGTTTATCACAAATCCGAAATGGACATCAACACAACGGCTTAGTAGAAAAAATAATCAACAATTGTGCTAAAAATAATTCTCATTTGTTTACAATATATTTAGCCATTGTAAAGCCAATAAAACGATGAATACAGTAACATTTTAACCGGTGTGTGTGTGTGTGTGTGTCAAAAGTAAAAACTACACATTTTCTTAGTCTCTTTGTAGGAACATGCCCATTCATACTCATGCATGACTGATTGATTTGCGGATCAATGCATTGAATGGTGTAATTGAGCGACACCGCGAATCAAGAACTAATTTCTGCTGATGATGCAATCCATGTGTAATCATGAGAAAAATCATCATGATTTGCCGCATCATATGTTTTGCCCATTGAGTTCGCTTTTAATTTGATTCCATCTCTGTGTGTGTATATGTGTTTTTGTTTTTGTCGCGACTGATCACTTGGTGCGGCTGTTGCTTTATGTCTCTACAGTGAACGGTTTCATATCACCAAATTGGGAATGCCATCCCAAAGAAACGCAATAAAAATCGAACATCGAACGCATATTAGGCATGGCTATGATTATTATTAATTTTTTATTCGTTGTTGCTTGTAGTGTTTGTGTCCTTATCTGTCTCTCTCGCTTATTCTACTCGATGTTAATCGCTCGTTTTTACATTTAAATCATTTGCTTCCTTTGGCTTGGACGAAGAGAATAACTCGTTTTGGATATATTAAAAGCTACAGCGTGGGCACAAATAAATTTCTTCTTTTTTCTGAATCAACCATCCACACATTTTCCGTTTATGGTGATGCCAAGTATTAGTTCACCATGGACCGAACGGAGAAAAAAAATCAAATTAAAAAAAAAAAAACACAGCGACAGACAAAAAATTCCTTTGAAATATTGTTTACATTCGTTTGTGTCGCCACGAGTTTCAAATTGTAAGCATTGAAGTTTGGCTCGAGACAAAAATGGATTAAATGAAAAGAAAAAAAAAGCAACGACAACGTTCAAAATGAAAGAAAAAAAAACATAGAAAACAACTTAATATTTTTGAGGAGGTTTTCGCAAACGATTTCAATAACATAAATGTATGTGTCTTTTTTTCCCTTTGTCTTGACTCAATAGTGAGAGCAAGCACGAAATAATTTGATTGTAGGTACCTGCTGAAAAACAATGTGGCAATTGGACGTTTACAACACTCCAATGTTTTTCATCGATTTGAATTCGGTGCAAATACAGCGTATCGAATTGATTCGGAGTTTTTTTCTGTGCTGATGGTTCTTGCAGACACAGTTGACACATTTAACAATCTTGCGATTGTAATGATTGAATGAATGTATTGTCTATAGCATAAATCAAGTGAATTGCATTAAATTTTATACTTACATCTGGGTGTTCTCTAACTGGCACATAGACTTTTTCATTTAAAGTAACTGGAGTTCCATCTGGTTCAGGTAGCTTTAATGGTTCCTTTTTTACGCCATTTATTTGGAATAGCGACGCTCTAACTTTGGCGATTTCTAATAAAACAAAAAAGGAAGAAAGAAAAATAATTATTATTCAATTTAAAACCAGCGAAATCGTTATCTTTTCATTTGACACATATTCCACCACTGAGATAAGAGGAAAGTTTGTAAGCAAGACAATAATTTAGTTTTGTGATGTAAGCAAATTTGATGCCTACAGACAAACGGAGAAACTTCGTAATACAGGAAACAAGATCGAGAAAAAAAAATAAGTCGATTGATCGGAATGGCCTTTTCAATGCCAAATAAAGACAATGGCTTGGCACGACATCGATTCGATATTCAATAATTCTGCGGTTGCATTCGATGATCTCAATTTGATAATTTATTATTGTGAGGCAATGCAAATCATGTCAACAGAGTGCGCCCATAATATAATACGAAAGAGAAGAAAAAAAAATAAATGATGTAGTTTGGTAATTTGCGTACGCGCGAGGGATGACTCTATGGATTGCGTGTACCTGTTGTAATGTATGTGCTCGTTCGCTTTGTCTCGCTCTCTTGACAAATTGGACAATTAAACAAAGCGCCGATCAATGAACACTTTTTACACATATACCGATTTCATTGAAAAGTCGACTGAATACCTTTGCAAGAGCATTCAAGTATTTGGTTTGTGGGCAGTTTTCACGAAGGCGCGTAACTAATTTATGTGTTTAGTCTTTATTTATTCCATTTGAATATGTCATTTCTGTTTCTGTCACATTGTGTGTTATTCCATCTGTTCATTTCATTCTATAAAAGGAATACTAAACATCCGGAACATAAAACTCATATTAAGCATTGGCTAATAAGCATCGGCAAATGGTGAATGAGACGGCCGCACTGTTTTTACCTCTATACATCTTTGCAAAAACACGACAAAAAGAAGAAGAAAAAATGAGTTGGTACAAGAGCCAACAATGTATCATCTGAAAGAAGAGAAAAGACGAGAAAAACCAAACAGCTAACGCGCAATAATATACAAAAAGCTATTTGAAGCAGTTCAGCGAAAATGAAATGGTAACGAATGGAAGTGAAGAAAAAAACTTCAAGACAATTATGTGTATTGCAAGCAACCCACAAATGTCACATAATTTGTACGGCTATGTTGAGGTTTTCCTCCCGTGCAAAGATGCGAAACGGTTTAAAGTGCAATTGGAAAAACTTGAAATGAAGTCGTTATTGTTGGCAAGTGTCTGGTTTGTTATGCGTTTGAACCGAAAGGAAGTGTGCTACTGTGAGCGAAACATGTCGTGTCACCAATAAAGAATTCGCTGAATTTCGCAACACATTGGACCTGGCTGCGATGTGAAAACGATATTAAATCAAGTTACCAAAAAAAGCACTGCTCACAACATTTGTTCAAACACATGTGCACTTATCGATTGGGAATTGCATGTAATGATACACTTTCATTCCGGTGATATTTTTTTTAAGTTGACTCATTGGAAAGTGAAAACTTTAACGAAAAAAATTAATAAATAAAAACAATTGACAGTTATCGAGTTCTTTGTAAAGTGTATGCACCTATTTTTGGGTGAAATACCTATGGAGTGAGATATAGAAAAGTAGATTTTGAACCGGAGCCCAGATCACATGGATTGTAGGATAGAGCAAATATGTAATTATCATATACGGATAGATTATGATGATAGGAAAAATATAGAGTCAGAGAGAGAGAGAGAGAGAGAGAGGGAGAGAGAGAGAGAGAGAAGTAAGCGTTTTGGTTACAAACAAGTTTGTTTGGCATGAATTATGTAGTCGGTACACTCTAATTGTTCGCACATCTCACAAATCAGCAATCTGCTATCCACTTCCAGTCCACATTCAAATGGCATTACATTTTTTTTGCGTCAATCCACCAAAAGCAAATCTCTTAAGCTTATTTCAAGAGAAGTAAACGGTTTCCAGCGAACAGTGATCAATCAAATCTATGATCGTGGCCATACGTTAAAATAGCACACACACTTTGTACTGCCTGCAAATCATAACCTCATGCAGGATTTGAGAGAGAGCGAACGAAGAAAAAAGTATGAGTTGAAAGTGTAGCAGCGAGAAAAAGAAAGAAAAAATTACGTTGAAAAATCTAGCGCCTATTTTGAAAATCGCTACTAGCTTTTAAAACGCTATTCATTTCCTTTCGTATTCTTAACCAGCTAAAATAATAGCCAAAGTATGCGATTTGCATTCTTCACTTTAATTTAGCTGCGTGAGGTGGGGAAAAATAATAAACATGTACACACATAAAGTTTGTGAGAGTTCTCACAGAGAATGTTAGAGCGAGATATGGAAAGGGATCTCGCTCTCGCTCTCGCGCGCATTTTCTCCCATTTATATCGCTAAATTCAGACATTAATTATGAGAAATTCACAGTAAAAGATAAGAATTTATTAAAATCTTTGTGTAATAAATTAAATCATTAAACAAGCATTTCGTTATTCTCCATGTTAGACGTTGTTACGTTGGTTGCTCGCTGCCGATGCTGCGTGATGGCGATGCATTGCACTTCAAGTATTGTTAACTACGTAACTCACTTGATTGTTGGATTACAATTGTATAATGAATTAAATCATTGTATTTTACTGGCTGACTGCCGCTTTTTGTTGAACACTCACAAATGTGCTACGCGTATCGGATGGCCAGAAACAAAAATTTGTTAGAATGTTGTAGTTTTTTTTTTCTTCTCTTTTTCTGTTTAACTTTGCTTTGGCATAGCGTAAACGTCATAGCACGCAGAGCAGCATTATTTTTAATTACCATGTTTATATAGGTTCCATGCAAATCAAAACAGTAAGCAATATGATTTTCGCCTTTTCTTATAGCTGGTTTTTGTTTTATTTCTATTCGTTTTCTATCATTTTGCTACTACATGTTTCATTTGTTTAATGTGTATGGTGTTTTTTTTCTGTATTTCTTCATTCCCACCCCATGTGAATGAATTAATTCATTCAAGAACATGGATTTCTTTGACTTAATTATTTCATTATGGATTGTGAAATAGAATCATCATGTTATTAAGCATCGAAAACAGAAGTTGTTTTCGGAAGTGAAACTGGAACTCACCAAAAAAAAGCTAGTCTAGTGTTCGATGGTGATCATAAGAATGGCAAAAATAATAAAATCAAGACAAAACATTGCCATTTGCTAATCCATGAAATGTCATTGAGAGTTTTTACCCGATTGTGGTTTCATTCGATTGAAGAGGTGCATAAAATTGAATGTCGTAGGTAGATTTTTTGTGTTGGTTTTCTTTTTCGGACTACATCGACTGAATTTGCAGCTTTGATTATGATAATTAGGCAGAGCCAAGAACATTGTAACTTCATGTACGGAAGGCACTTCGAACTGTGCAAACATATTTGAAGTTGATTGTTTTTTCAGCGAGAAAATTAAAGTCAATTCGAAATAAAAAAAAATAATGGCCCGAATTGTGTAGCAGTGATCTCAATTTCTTGGAACTGCTGTTGGAATCAACATGAATACGATTAAAGCGTTAAATGTGTCAAACATCAAAATTGCAGACCATAAAGAGATGTATCATAAATTGATCGAAAACGATTGAATATATGTGTGCGCATGAGTCAATCTTAGTGCTCATATGAATGGTTCGGAGCGAAAATGTAATACAGAAAAGTTGAGCAGAAAAAAGTCAAATGAAAAGGGATAGCTATATAGTTCACTATAGTTTACTATACAGCTTACTATATAGCTATCCCTTTTCCGCTCATTCATCATCGATAAATGAAATTTATCTAGATAATTTCGAGATAATATCTTTTTTATTCAATTTTATCTAGATAATGTCGAGATAATTATCTATCTTTTGTTGAAAAAGATAAGATAATCTTATCTTTATCTGAGTTTGCAGTCAGATAAAAGCCTATTGAAGGCTATGACATTAGTTTTTTTTTCGATAACAGAATTTTGCACTGAACATTTGTATGAATTTGAATAAATCGACAATTGGCTGTCAATTCACGTTTCGCTACGGAGAGTTTGAAACGATTCTAGGCAGAATAAAGTGAATCAAATAGATTTTAAGGTCATAAGTTTCAAAACAACAAATTAATAATTTCATAACTTCTCGGCTTTGTATACAAAAATCAGTTTTTTTTTTAACCAAAAATTCAATTGTCATGGTGGTTTCGAATAAATTGTTCAAGCCGAATATTCATACCAAATCTCACATCAGATTCATTGAAGACGGTCTATGAAACTCGAAGCATAAAGCCGAAATTGAAAATTTTCAATAATTTGAATAATTGGAGACATAAAAATTAAAAGAAAAGGAAATAATTTGTTTGTTTTGATGAATGATGAGTCGAACAAACGATTGAGAATAAAATATCAATCAAAAATTGAACGAAAATGTAAAAAAAAAAATGTAAAAATATTCCGTAAAATTCAAATGTTTTTCATTCAAAACCCACCCGTTCTACTTATTAAGCCTTCATTTATCTTAAAATTTATCTAAAATATGACAAAAGATAATTGGAAAAATATGAAGAAAAGATAAAGATAAGATAAATCCGCAAAATGAATTTTTCATCTAGATAAGATAAAAGATAATATCTTATCTATCTTATCTGGTTATCTCATCTTAAGATATTATCTCAACCAAACACTGCTTACATGGAAGATGTAACCCAATTTCGATGAATAATAATGATAAAATAATTAAAAAACAAAAATCTGTGAATATGCATACACCTTCTGTACACATAAGATGTAGAGTCGACCGAATCCATTACTTTGGTAGACAATTATTCATTCCATACAGTGAAATGCTACACCGGTTCTTGTCAATGGTGCGAAAAATTTCATATTTGTTTGTTTGTAACACTGTGTGATTCTGACTTGCTGACTGGTTGACTGTATTGGCTTCCGCCCAAATTGGGCTCAGTGCACAGGTTCATGAACCAAATCTGAATTTCTCACTTGTGACCGTGTACAATGGGGTCTTTTCTTTTGTTTTCACTATACATACGGATACGCATGTATTGTGCGTCATT